GATACTAGAGAAGATATTAAATATTTTGCATATCACAAGGGAAGCAAAGCTTATCGTAACATGGCCCCACAATAAACTCTACACAATTTTCCAACTTTCATTAAACTTGGTATGATTGTTATGCTAGTGGAATTACTAAAGGCCAGCACATACGTTTTAATTACTAATTTGCTGTTAGATGGGCATGAAGACTGCGTCCTGCAGTCTCTTAACTTCAGTCCTACACGAGGATGAATCGGCTTCATGGCAGAGGGATCGACCACTGGGGACTTGTGTGTGGGCCTGTCTAGCTGTCCGCCTTCCCAACTTCTGAAATCAGTCAACCAAACTTTCATAAAACTGATATTGTTACAACACTGCAACTTTTGAATACTACTAACGTGGCAGACGAGTGAATATGTGGGGTGCAAGACATAAAAGCGCTATGTACAGCAGTATATTGCTGTGGATGACATAAGGTTAATATGGTGGAATTTTCTTTTCCTTTGGTTTGATGGTGAAAAAGATAAATCACTGGGCTAGGTATGTGAAATTTGGCAAGAAGACAGTTCATATGCATAGTGGTAAATTGAGTAAGCAGGAGTTACGAGTCCTGTTCGGAACTCGGCAGTCTATTGAAAGCCAACTGACATTTCAAAGGAACGTCACCTCCATCTTCGGGGTTTGAAGCATAAATTAGCATGAAGCTTGCGCGCTGCCTACTCTTCAACCCTGGAGATGAAGACAAATGAAGGTCAGCTTCCGAACAGGAGAGCACAGTGTTATATCCAACAAAGATGAACACTTCCAGGGACTGCCCATTGTCAGGTAGCGATAACCTTCCATTCTCTAATGTGACAGTCAAGATCTGATACGGTATCAGCCTCTTTCAATCTAACAATGGGAATATCCAAAGAAATTGCCATTTTGATGTCCATGACTTTTGAGTCCTTTTTCAAATATTAGGAGTGATTATGAATCGGAAATATTCACAGGATAAGAGCATTTTCCAGATACAAAATTAATTTAAACTGTTAATATTCCTTGTGCTTTCATAAGAATGATTACATATGGTGAAATGGAAGATGAAAGTGGAACTGCAAGGTCTGTTTATGCGTACTGTAATCACATTTGCCTGGAAGCAAGGGAAAGCCAAGAAAACATTTCTCAAGACAGGCAGTGTCCCTCTATTTCAAACAGAATAGTAATTTCATGTGATGTCACGTGAAAACCGAGGTTCTCACAGCACTGACTACAAAGACTATATTGTCTTCTAAGATGTGACAGCATATTGTCTGGTAAATAAGTAAGCATACAGGTTATTTCTTATGTGCTGAAGCTGAAAGCTGCAGATTGCTTCTGAACATCAGTATGTTACTGAAGAAACATGGCATCAACCTGCAGAAGACAGTACCCATCACAGCCACACGAACGCTGTCCTCTTGCCTGTCTCACTGCTGCAGTCATGGCACCTTTGTCACATGATAAAGTAAGTAAAGGTATCCCCGTACCAGGCCGTGGAGACCAATAGGGTTGTGAGACATCGAGGCTCCCACATTATCTAGACAATCAGCTCATAGACAGCAGTAAGACTGTCAGCTTTACATGCAGGCCACCCTTTACCCCCCGAGAATATTCCTGGTACTCATTTCTGTTAGAGGCTGAATCAACCCCAGGGCCATAGTGCGGCTGGAAGGATTAGGTCAATTGAAAAAATCCAATGACCTCATCAGGATTTGAATCCGCTACCTTCCGGCTTGTGGCATAGTTCCTCAACCAAGTATGCTACAGTACTGTATCTCCAGAGAAACTGACGGCGCATTATATTTCTGCATGTCAAATTTTGTTTCATATTTCACTAGCAGCTGACACAGAAATGTAATTTATTGAAATTAATGTAACAGCTTCAGAGCTGGAACAACAGTGAAAACTACGAAACTGAGGAGAAAGTAGGAATGAAATGTATTTTTAGTGTATTACCATGTACATACATTTTTCTGTTAATTAAAATGTAATACTGACATATCTGAAATATGCCAACAGAATCCTTTTAATGGCGTTTAGCTCTGACATTAGTTCAATCTGCTTAGAATCTATTAAAAAATTATAAACAATTTATTTGCAAAAAAAAAGGACAATTAATTTCCTTCAATTCAACATTTCAAAATTTGGGTACACAATATATTGAGGAGAATGTAGTACACAGGACGTAACCAACATCTGCAACACAACTCAAACCACATAGTAAGTTTTATATAATTAATATCATATTTTAAACTGGATAACATTTACAACAAATACAGCACACTCAGGCCCAGATGGACTTACATTTGCACCTCTATATTTATTTACATGCATACATACAAATTACTTTAAATTATAAAAACAAAATACAATAATTCAACATTAACTGTTGATGAGGTTACTTTTAACTCAACAAGGTTACATCTGAAGTACATGGTGTGTGTGTGTGTGTGTGTCAGTTACAGGGGTGTCAGCAGTGTGCCACTCCAGTTTCAAACCAATAATTTCAATCAGATGACTTCTGCTACAAGAGGAATATTTTAATATTATATCCCCTGTTCTCAACACAGAATGATAAAATGGAAATGTTCCTTTAAGTGCCCTTATGAAGGACAGGGGCAACTCATCAGCTGTACACTGTAACTAAAGCCTACAGTGTTCGAGAGTCACCCTTGGAAGACTGAGAGCTACTGCATGTTCACCCACTGATCTTACTAATGAAAACAGAAATGTCTGAATTTCAATTAACATACATGTAATGGGACAGACTATTCAGGACTCAATACACTACTCCACTGGCTGTGCCAGAAATAACTTTCCACACTGGCATAATCACAATTTATCACTTTGTGGTATCAAATTTACTTCCCAGTGCCTTCCAACTTGTAATAAGTAAATGTATTGGGCAGTAAACACCTTGAGGGTTGTGGGGTTTCAACAAGTCAGTATCAAGATTTTGTAAAGTGAGATAATAGTATTACTGAATCAGAAAGGATTTGGAAGGAAGCTGTCATGGCCCAATAGAAGTACAATATTCACATTTTCCAGCAGACTTCTGTGTTAATATCAAGCCACAATTTGAACATTTCCCATGTCTGTATGCAGCTCCAAACAGATTCAGAGAAGAAGGGCCTTTCCTTATATCTGAGACTGCCAGAAGATGTAATACAAGTATGAGGGGTGAGCCATAAAACTGGCCCTCCCACTGCGACCTTCAATGGTCTATTGTGCTTCCCCTTTGGATTAACCCTTTATTAATCCCACACTTCAAATGTAATGTAGGACTTTGTTTACAGAGGGTGTCATAAAAGTAATTTGGTTCCATGGAGAACTGACCCAGGTGGTGATATCTTAGGTAAGCTATAGCCTCACAATCACGTAAGATGTGAGTGGCTGATTCATCTTCTTATAGGCACCTCTCACACGTCGGGTCCTCTGTCAGTCCCATTTCTGTTAGTCCAGTCCCTTATCGCTTTCTTGGCAACTCCAATTGAGATACCAGAAGATGTTTGAACAAAAGTCACCGACCTTATAATATAAACATAATGATCTGTGGCCTGATCGGGTGACACTAACATGCCAAGCATCAAACAGAATCCATCTGACCTGGCAAAAACAAATTTAACAGACACACTCGATCAGGATAAGCAGGGGGACACTCCCTGTGTACTGACACACTGCTCACTGTGTGAAAGTGGCAGTCCACATGTTGCAGACAAGCCTTCCACCTGGATGTGATGTTGTTTGGTCTGCTGGACTGTTTCCAACATGCAGGAGGTACCCTGAAGATCTGCCAGACTACACTGCATCACACCCCAGAGGGTGCTGTGAAAATCCCAAATGTCACAGAGTTTATCTGTAAATACATTCAGTGCAGGAAGGCAGTTTTCCGATTTGTAGCCTACATATTAGCCAGCAGGGAGAGAAGCTTGTAGTTCATTCACTGATTGACAAATACCAGTAGCTGATGGCTCTATAGGCAACTAATACTTCAGACATCACAAACAAAAAATTATTTCAATAAATTCACATTACTTACTCACTTACTCACTCATGGAGCTGAGCCCTTCTGGAGGAGCTGCCAATTCTGCAGCTACTCAAGGATTTCCCAGCATTTTATGGAACCCGAAGGTTCATTACCATGTTCACAAGAGCACTCCACTGGTCCCTATCCTGAGCTAGATCAATCCAATCCATACCATACCATTCCATTCTCTCTCTCTCTCTCTCTCTCTAAGATCCATTTTAATACTGTCCACCCACCTACAATTTGGTCTTCCCAGTGGGCTCTTTCCTTCTGGCTTTCCCACCAATATCCTATATGCATTCCACCTCTGCGAATTCATGCTACATACCCTGCCCATCTCATCATCCTTGACTTGATCATTCTAATTAAACTTGGAGAACAGTACAAGTTATGAAGCTCCTCATTATGCAGTTTTCTCCAAACTCCTGTCACTTTATCTCCCTTTGGTCCAAATATTCTCAACGCCTTGTTCTCAAACACCCTCAGTCTATGTTCCTCCCTTAACGTCAGAGAACAAGTTTCACACCCACACAGAACCACAGGCAAAATTATAGTTTTGCATATTCTAATTTTTGTTTTTGGACAGCAGATGAGAAGACAAAAGGTTCTGGACTGAGTGGTAGCAAGCATTACCCGAGTTCAATCTCCTCTTAATTTCCTCCTGACATTAAAAAAGGAAAATGATATTTCAAAGAAGACAAAATTACACAACTATTAAATGTCTGTAAAATGAACAATGAAATATGAACATTTTCCNTACACAACTATTAAATGTCTGTAAAATGAACAATGAAATATGAACAACATTTTGTAAGTAGACTGCATGACACATTAGTTTAAGGAATATAAATGATGCCATACTGCTGGAAACTGGTCAGACGGAGAAGGCAGCCAGTAGTCATGTATAATAATCATCATCTTCCTTACCAGTGTTTTGCCTGTTGAGGCCTATTATGGATACTGTAATATCTTTTCATCATTTCAAAGGTCTTCCCAAATTTCTTTTTCAGTTCATTGATATTCTGGATCATTCTTTGAAATCTTATCAATATGTCCTATCAAACATCATCTGCATCATTCCACAAATTCTGGTATTTGTGAAATATGTAGTTCTACAATAATTTCATTTCTTTCGTGGTTCAAAATCCTTCTCATGAAATAAATTTCCGCTGATATGAAGCTTCTCTCCTGAGCTCGTTTCTGACCCTGGTTCGTACCAGAAGGTACATGATTACATATTCAATATCATCAAGATGGAAGTAGCCACAAATTTCAGTATGACCCTCTATTTCTTTTTTTATTGCTAGTGGGGTGGGACTAAGTCCCTTGTACTGCAGCCACTTCTGGCCTACTGTATCAGTATGACCCTCTAAGTAAAGTTCTTATTTTCCTACTTATTATAAGTGCCTTGTATAAGAGACTAAGCTTCAAAATGCTTTAAAATTCAAGCGGGACAGAGTTCTGTCTCTCTGTGTATGCCTGCTGCTGGCTGGGTTCCAAGATTACAAATGACTGCTGACTGAATACAAGTATGAGTTGTGATGCAAAGAAATACTTGATTTAAGGGACTGATGATTCCATGCAACAGTACACTATGAGAGATTCTGCTGTCCAGCAAAACCACACCTTGATGTAGTCTCTGAACATTATTGGTTGGGATACAAACAATAAGACGCGTGATATGAAGGAATATGTGAGAAAACAAATAACATTAAATTGCCAAATGAGGAAGGAAACAACTCTCAAACTTTATGAGTAAAGGCTGTTGCTACATCTTCATATGGAAGCCAAACATGAGATAACAGGAAGAAAAACGTTCATGTAATTCAAGCAGCAAATATGAAATTTTAAACATCAAAAGATGCAATGTATTAGATAAAATTAAAGCTCAACTTATATGAAAAACATTAAATTTTTTTTTTGGTGGATTAAAGAATACATGAATACAGAGAGAGAAAAAAAGATTAACCCACCAGAACAGGCAATAAGATATTCCCAAAACCTGACCATCAGCATTAACCTTAAGGAGAGAACATTCTAAAGAAGGATCTAAATTCAAAGTGGCCAGAACTTCATCTGTGGTGGGCAGAAGAGGAATATTGATATGTGAGGTTATCATGGCAGTGAATGTTACAATTATAGCAGATATTAAAATTAAGTAGTTTGGTAGCAACTATTCTCCAACAAAGAGAAGGTAAGACAACTGCCAAGGCCTGCCCATTTGGACTATGCAAGCTGAATGCACAAGCATGATTTTCAGACCACTCTTATCCCTGTTGTTTATACATCAAAGCCCACTGAGTCTTGAATGAACAGTAGAAATATGAAGGTAAATCAACTCCATCCACCACTTGCCTCATCTTCTCTTCATTGAAGAATAGGAACCAACATTTCAGGGAAACCTATCTACCAAACTACAGCATCACATCCCAGAAGACTCTTTAAGAAGACTGTTCCATCTAAATCAGAAAAAAAAAACAAGGTAGAACATAACACTGAATATCTCTAATTTGCTGGGTAGATATGACTTGACCTGCTGTAAATTGTGTTTAGACTAGTATGTACTACTGCCCTTACTGGCTCAGGGAAGTAGAATTCAACTTATTTCTTGTAGAGGGTTGCTCAGTGAACCCTAAACACTGCATATGCACTGTGAATACAACAGTCACACCACTGCAACACACAGCAGAGGCGGTAACAAGTAACGTCACAATATTGACAGAGATGTCACCTGTACCATCATACACAACTGCCATAAATAAACTGAAGTCACTAGAAGTGGTCCACTAACACTGACACACTGTTTGAGCCTATGGATGTGGCAGGACCTCCAGAATCTATCGCCACACTCTGCCAACTGGAAGGCCGCCCCAACTGTCCATCAGTAGTCTCCCCAGACTTGAGCGCAAAACTTCTGGGACGATGGTTCGAGTCTGATGTCTGGTCTGGAGGTTCACACGTTGCCCAGTGCGGCAGCTGAAGTTCAACAGGACAACGGAACTTCAGCCCGTGGGGCCCGCACAGTACCAGTGGGCTAAGCAACGTCTCACCTGCATACCAGAACCACAACATCTGTGTTACATCTGACGTTCTCAAGCCAGTGACTGTGGACTGGGTATTGGGGGCTCTTTCCCTGGGGGTAAAGCTGACCACTCATCTCCAACTAGTGCTGAGGTCAAGAAAATGTGGATCTATATATCCACCACCCCACGTCTTCATGGCATAGTGCTTACCTTTTTTTAACTATGAATATATGTAAAGTAACATCTTGAAAATATTTTTACCTTTTAATAAGTTGGTTTTGTTACATGGAAACACAATTGCAGGATGATGATAACACAGAATCTGTAGTTATCTTCCAACTGAAGTATAAGAACAGATTATAAACTTTGTAAGTTTTGAGGTTTTCACGGCGATGACAATGAAGAAAGTTGTCTTCTGGGTTTAGGCACCGTGTATTCTTCGTTTTGGCCGACGTTTCGGAGGAACGTAGCGCCTCCATCTTCAGAGCAGTTGAATAGCTGCGGAGAGCAGTAGCAGTAGCTATTCCTCTGCTCTGAAGATGGAGGCGCTACGTTCCTCCGAAACGTCGGCCAAAACGAAGAATACACGGTGCCTAAACCCAGAAGACAACTTTCTTCAGATTATAAACTTGTTATGCACAGACTTCAAGGAAAATCTTCAGAGAAGAAAACTGCAAACTCAACAATAACATGTTCTATTATTGGAGCATAAATTTCATCTAATTATTATTTTACAATTCAGTCCCTATATCATAGAAAACAGAATGCACCTCCATTACAATGCATTAGCTGAAAGGTAAAATTCTTCATGGAAATTATTTTAAAAACTGTGCTTACAAGTATTATAATGTAATTTTTATATTAAAATGTAGGGTGGACACTTGCTGAATCAAAAAGTGAGAAAGACACTATTTTTGCATTTTCTGGAGCTTACAACTACTTTGCACTCAATTGTTAGAGTGTGTTAGAAGAGTTTAAATTAAGTACAGCAAATTACAATTACAGAGGGTGTGAAGAGGACACCATTCTGAAACCCACAGCCAACACACAACTGACTGCTCACTCATTTTACTCATATTCCAAAGATTATAATGCAGAAAGAGTTCAGAGCACAGCACACACAACTGTGTCAAGAAGCGCATGCATTTGTTATATTTTCTTTAACATTCACATTCACTGTACAATACATACACACACCAAGATTAGTGAGAAAGGCAGAAGCACTTGTCTACCCTTCACATGGCCATGTTGGGCCTCATGCAATTGGATATTCTGACTGGCAGCTGAGTCAAGTTGTAACACTTCTGACTTGCATGCAGCAAGCACTTGGTTTGCACCTTAGCTAGCATACCAACTATACCGGCTGCATTTCTGGGATTTCCCTCAGTCCTTCTAAACAGATAACAGGACAGTACCTCAGAGATCACAACCACTTCCCCACACATCATTTTGAATTCACTGTTCACTAACATCCTTTCATCTGACACTGTGTGGTCTGAGCTAGTGACAGCATTGTTCAATTGTTCATTGTAAATAAATTAATAGTAGCTGACAGTTTTTGTGGTTTTTCCCAGCAGCTCCAGACAAATGCAGGCATGGAAGAGTATATTTACCCTTTCACAGTTCAGTATTTATTTAACCCAGTAACCCTGTGATGTCGAGATTTTATAAAACATCAAAAAATTTAAGTAAGTTATCTGAATGAATTAGGCAGTATGTCATCACAGGTACCTCTAATAGACAGTCAACAGATGACACTAGCTTTGGGTTTCTAACACTTGTCAAAACAATGCATAGGAGACAAGCAACAAATTTTAAAATACTGCAAGTAAAAATCTTTCTTACGAGCCCTAAAAACTGAAATTGTTCGTATTTTTTTTTCCATGTCCTTCCCAATTCCTCGTTCATATTCATCCTCCCAAATGATGCCATATAACACATGTAGTTGGGAAACTGTCATCTTCCTAGTGGTCTCTCTTCTTCAGTTATCTTACGGAAGACTTACATGCATTCTACATGCCCTAGCCACCTCATTCTCCTTGACTTGACAATCCTAATGCTACCTGGTCAGGCATACAAATTATGAAGCTCATTACGCAGTATTCTCCAGCCTCTTGTTATCTTTTCCCTCTTGGATCCAAATATTCTCCTCAGCACCCACCATCAGTGTATGTTCTTTTCCTTAATGTAAGAGATCATTTCACACTTGAAGAAAACAACAGGAAAAACTGCAGCTCAACATATGTGCACCATTAAAAACTATCCGAGGTACTGCCCATATCACCAGCAGTTTTCCTCAAAATGAGGAAAACTCCCTTAATTAATTAATTAATATCGATAATGGTTACAAACTTCTTCACTGTATGCCAATATAATATGAGTACGTATTGCATAAGGCCATGATGTGAACATAATCATGTTGTACCCCTGATAAGTGCTCCTTCCTTTCTCATGACGGCTGTGGGTCAGCACACTTCCACACAAGAAAGCGGGCCGTGGAAGCTTACCTTTCTCTTGGTCAAGTGGGGGCAACATAGAAGTGTCACGACACACTTTGAAGTAGATCTCCTGCTGGGACCCAATTGGAAGGGCTCCTGGCGGAATAATTATAGCCACGCCTGTGTCTGGACTGCTCAGTGTACCCCCCTCGTGGGTAAACACCCCCCTGGCCGTGGCCACCACCTCCTCACAGTCACCCCCCTCACCAACTTCTCCTCCACCCCTATGGTCACGTGAAAACACCACGTTAGTTCACCACACCACACCCACACACCTGCACACCAAAAGTAACCCAGTGACAGATCAGACAGAAGGAAGAGGAAATCTGTAAACGTCACACGCACAGCGGAACTCAAGCTGAGGTTCTCCCTCATTTAACATTCAGTTTCAATGATCTGAACCAATGGTTGTAAGATTCAATTTCCTGCATATAAGATTTTCCTCGATTTAGTGTTCATACCAAATGCTCCCCAAAGAAATGTTAAATGGTGGCAGTATTATAGTTTGGAAAAGAAATGCCAGAAAAGTAACTTTAAGTGGCACTGAAATCTCAATTCTTCCAGCAGATGATTTAGTATATGTTGTACAGACTTATATAGCTGAATGAGCTGGAAGCCACTGACTTAAAATTTTTCTAAACATTCTATAAACTTTTGGAATGGCTTCTACAGAGCCCGCCATCATGTTAACAATAAGCATGGACATGAAACATTCTGCATTATTAAGTTTTGTACCCTGAAGATGATGACAGAACTGTGAGAATGTCAAATCTCACATCTGTAACTTCTGACCCAACCATTTTTTAACTCAGCAACTATTTACTCCTCAGCAGTAAACAAAAATGAGCAAAGTTCCACCTACTCTTACTAAGCAAATTTATAATATTTCAATTTAATGGTTTCCCACAATTGGGGCATGTTACATTTAACATTCTCATGGTCATGATACAGATCTCTGCATGCTGGTGTTCCCATATAAAATTGCAACTGGCTGTTAGATTACAAGATTTCTCACAAGCCAGTAAAGACTACTGTTTTCCTGGATATGACCCATGTAACATACTGCAGAGGATCGTTACCAATGTTTTGGAGGAATATCCTACCTTAATCTTCAGGGTAAGAGACCGAGGCAAATATCTTCCTCCAAAATATTGGTAATGATCTCCCACATAGCATGGCATCACATCCCAAGGGACAACCATCCTTGCAGTCACTGCCACAAGAACCTCAAATGTCATATTTCCACAAGTTATGAAAGGAATACACAAAACATACTTATTGCAGCAGGTGCAAAATCTCTTGCTTGTAACTCAAATTTATATTGTTAATATCTTGCAGAAAACATATCATTTTTTCTTTAAACCTTTAAATGAGAAATAGCTAGTATGAGTTCCACAGTACTCTCTCTTGAAGTATTTTAATACCTGAGGATATCACAGCTATATTGTTAATTATTTATTAAGGTCATAAAACAGCCAAAATAAAGAGCATTACACAAATTTCCAGCAAAATTAACATGAACTTCATCCTACACATTTCACTAATATACATAGTATTTGCCACCTTAAGGGGTGTTTCTCGTTAGTAGGAAACCTGGATGCAGTTGTGGGAACATCCCAAATCCCACATAGTAAATCAAAACCTGACCAAAAATATATTGTTTCTAAACTACAGAGTATCCCTATAAAAGCATGCACAATGTATTATTAATATGGTTACTGTGCCTTCATTTTATTTTTCATGTATCCTGTTTCTTATTTACTGCTATGCAATATGTGCTTCTAACCGCAATCCTCAATGTTATTTATGAGAACGGGTGAATGCAGAGCTGCTACTGATTGATTACAGTGTAAGAGCAGAACGGAAACTCTACAACTTGCAAGAGAACAGGAAAAATCTTGTACAAAATTATATAAAGCCAACAGAAATAACACACAAGCACAACAAAGAGACAGACAGAGAAGTGACTATACACCAGGAGTGCAAGAAAATATGATGGCTGTTCAAATGAAACCTGTTTGTGACACTGCTTTTCTAGGATTCAGTTAAGATATATTTATGAAATGAAAACATTGGACCAAGCAAGTTAGCTCAAGCAGTAATATGTTTATTTGCCCAGAAAAATTCCCAGATGAGTTTCATTTGAACAGCCATCACACTATACCTGTCACATTTGTGTGCTACTAAACATTTTTCATGTTCCAGTGACCCACTGCTTCAATGTCAGCAGCTGTTTTTATACCAGTAAACAAATGAAAATCTCAAGAGGCTACTTTCAAGAATATTCCAAATAAAATACCATTCATAAAGCCAGCAACGAGTGTTGAAAATACTCCGGTGGAGTATGCAGATATTTCTAAATGCATAATTCACTCACCATGGGATTTATTTACTTCACACACAAATGTATAAACTTATTACACGTGCATTCATTCTTGTTCCACAACAATCCCACTCAAGGGTAAAACAATATACAAGAATTGTCTCTACTAGATACCACCTGCAGGAGCCTATACTTAAGAATGTGTTAACATTACGTGAAATTTTGGATTCTCATAACAGTGAGAATCATGATTATGATCTTGTTAAGATGTTATGTTAGGTTCCGCAGGTTAGGTTATGTTATTGATGTACATAGCCAAGGGAAAACTCTACACAGTAAGCATTAAGGATACTGGTGAAGTTACAGAGGTTATACAGTGTTCAATAATATAGGAGCAATCAGAAATAATCACGGAGGATGCGTCTTTAAGGCACAAGTCATCACATCCTTAAAAAAAAGTGTAGCTATCCCTGCAACAGGCCGTGGAGGCCCACAGGGTTGTGACACCTCAAGGTTCCCACATTTTCTAAACAATCAGCTCAAAGATGGCGGTGAGGCTCTCAGCCTGCTGGTACTCATTTCACTTAGATGCTGAGTCAACCCTAAGATCCTAGTGTGGCTGGAAGGATTAGGTAACTGAAACACCAAATGACATCATTGGGAATTGAACCCATGACCTTCAGGCTTTGAGCATAGTGCCTCAACCAACTATCCTACTAAACCAAACTCAGATCAGACAGTTAGCTTGGCAATAATGTCTCATTTGTATTTTGGAGGTTTCCAGTTCTAATCTTGGAAAAGACTTTTCATGGCATTCTGTCCTTCCTGGAGAATGCAAGAACTGGCCACAAATGATTGCTCCCATATCAAACAAAAGTATTCACTCAGTCAGTCAACTTGAGGCATCTGCTTCAACAATACATAATCCCTGCATCTGACTTACTGTGGTTAAACAAAGAAATCACAAACCATAGTCTCTCACATTCCGTAGTTTTTTAGACACATGCTACACATGCAGTTCATTATGTACACATTACACACAACAGAACCCACTAAAAGAAATTTTCCTGGGGACTAAACAATTCAGACTTCTGACACAACAAAACATCTTAAAAGAGTGGGTTCACACCAATGTGTCAAATTCATTTTAGCCCCAGGTAAAGGTATTCATATTGCATAATGACAGTTAAAAATCATTATAAATAAATACTTCTTGAAATAAAAACTATGAAATTGTAATTTTGAGTAAACTGGCACTGTGCTGAGACTGCTTTCTTAGGAAGAATATCTAGTATTACGAAGAGCTCTATCTTCCAGAATATAATGCTGTGTAGTCCACTGAAAGTCAACTAATGTTTCGGAAGAACAAGGACCTCCATCTTCAGGGTGGAAGAATAAGCTGAGGAAGAAACCAACATTAAGCATGCAGCTCTCTCCATTGCTGGTTTATTGCATACGTGGATTACGCTTTGACCCTGAAGACGGAAATGATGTTCTTCTTCTGAAAACTGGCTGACTTTCACTAAACTACATTGATTTACAGAGATTTACATCCCAGAAGGAACTCCTGCCTCCATTAGGAGAAATACAGTCTTACAAATAAGGATTCAGTTAACAACACACTTACTTACTTACTTACTCATGGAGCTGAGCCCTCCTGGAGGAGTCGCCAATTCTGCAGCTACTCAAGAACTTCCCAGCATTTTATGGAACCCAAAGGTTCATTAACATGTTCACAAGAGCCCTCCACTGGCCCCTATCCTGAGCCAGATCTATCCAATCCATACCATCCCATCCTATCCCTCTTAATATCTGTTTTAATATTGTTCACCCAGCTATGCCATGGACTTCCCAGTGGACTCTTTCCTTCTGGCTTTCCCACCAATATCCTATATACATTCCTCGTCTCCCCCATTCGTGGTACATGACCTGCCCACCTCATCCTCAACAACACATTTACAGTGGTATAATCATTACACAGTATCTTGGTGAGTCAATGGCGCCACTGAAGTTCTAACGATTTCATTTAATTTTTTTACATGCAAACAACAAACAAATGGAATTGCTGGCTCAGTTTGAAAGCAATTAGTCTGTGAACCAATCAGAAGAACATGACAAATTTATAACAGTGAAATGAAGAAAATCATTTTTTTTTACAATGACAGCAATTTTCTTGTAATACATTCCTTGTACATATTAGACAAATTCTGACTGAAAAATTACTTGCCCTCGTAAATATTAAATGAAATTTTCTAAAAAATTGTATTTTGAATTTTCACATTATAGCAGTCCTGTTTATTCGAAGAAATCAAATTTCCCTACTGTCATTGTAATTTCCAGTTCAGGCACAATATGTAAATGTTTTAACATATTTTAGCTTGGACCTAGGGGAACTACTGAGACTGCCTTTCTTTTTATGGAGTCTGACCTGAGAATCAATGGGACTGACAAAGACGTTCTTTCAGCATCCCCCCCCTTTCCAAATTTTCTGACAGAATACCCAATGGTGATTACCTGCCCTCATCTTGCATAATGTGGTGATACTGTATTTCAGTGGTTTACACAAGAGATGGATTTGAAAATATCGTCCATAACTATAATTTCTATTCAAAAGGTGATAAACCAAATGCACGTGGTTGAGTCCTTGCTGAGAAGCCAACAGTTGCTCAGCTCCCATCTATGCCTAGGTCTTCCTAGTGGTCTCCTCTTTCCTTCAAGTTTTCCTACCTAAAACTCTTTCCCATGTGTGCAACACGCCTTGGCACATAACGTTCCTCAATTCAACAAGATATATTTATGTAACACAGACATGTTCATATGGTTTGCATCTCACCAAGCAGCGCAGCAGGGAATGTGACAATATTGACAATTGTTTCAACTTGAAAACAAAATTCCTTCATTCCTTCCCTCACCTCAAGAGTTGAGAGAGATTCCTCAGTGTGTATACAGACCTGAGGTTATTCTCCAAATAGTGGTGCAAGGCATTGCTTGGCTTCTTGTACAGTTCAAAAGCAGAGCCCCTCTGCTCCCTGTTGGCGAGATCTAAGAGCCCACTTGGTTCTCGATTATGGTGATGGCTGCTCCCGCTGCCACTGCCACGGTGATAATCACCACTCCGGTTAGGAGCTGGAATGTTGTAGTAGTATTGTCCACGATGCAGTGCTGCTCCCGGGTTGTAGCTGCGATCCAGGCTGCTGCCATGACCCGAGTCAAACCCTCCACTGGTGTCCTCCCCTAACATAAGACATGCATGCTGTTAGACACTCCTACATTGTGATGTCATGCGATGTTTGAGCTACAGGCAAGCAAACTTTCATTTCCTGAGAAACTGTTCACTGAATCAATGAATATAAGAAGTGAAGATCAGAAAAGTTTACTCTAACTTGGAGCCCTTTGCCTTTTGTGCAAATTTTTAGGCTCTACCTGTGCAATGTTTTGGAACTTAACTTGAAAAAGAAAACAGTTGGCATGTCAAGACAGCAAAGTCACAAGACAAGAACATCAGGTCTCCATGCTACTGCAGATGAATGACAAATTACTGCATGCAAGCAGATGAATTGAGAAAGATTTGCAAGAAAGGGGTCAAGACCTGACTGAGGCACTATTCTGGCATCTGCTCAGAGGAACTGACAAACAAAAATCAAAAAACCTCAGTTAGGTTAGCCAGTGTCCTGGAAAACATTTGAACCAAGGGCCTCCTAAACATAAGTCTAGACTATTAATGTATGCCCATCTGCTCAGTCCCTAATGAAGGAGACAGAGATAATCATCAATATCTGGGATGTGAATTCCACATTAACATGGCTGACTGCCAAAGAAGGCATCAGTTCGCTACGCAAGCTTCATACTTGAATGTTGGTAAAGCAAGGAATAAATGCAGAAACTAGCATATGATCATGTACTGCATGCTTACCACCATTGTGTTGGGGCATGTACCCTGCAGCATCTAGCCCCCCTGCCACAGAGTATGACTTGGCATGCTGATATGTGGGCAGGCCCGTCGTCTGCTGTTTCAGCATGGCTGCCACAGTAGAGTCAGCATCTCCACAGGGCTGGGTTGGGGGCCCAACCCCAAAGCCCCAGCTGCCTCCTCCTCCACCACCCCCTTCAGAGGCAAGAGGTGGCCGATAGTTTTTAGGTTTTGGTGGGGGTACAGGCTTATAAGGAGCACCGGTCTTGGGAGGTGGCATGGGTTTGTAATCGCCGGGTCTGCAAACAAACAGGAGAAAAGCTATAGCAACTACACTACGGGAAAGGCTGCAACTAGCACATGGACAAACACAACACAACACAACTCAACTTCAATCAACATAAGGCAGTAAAACTAAGCAGTGATTACATATAAGTGAAAGCCTATAGGAGTTTTATGCTGATAAGCACAAACGGAGGGGGAAAAAAGAAATGTGCACCTAAGAGAGACCCTATGAACAGCTTAAACTTTCAAACTGACTGCCTTACTCCATAAAGCTGAGTCTTTCTTCACAATCTAATAGTTAGTCAACTAGTCAAGAAATTAGTAGCATTTTATGGTTCCCAAAGGTTCACGAGTCTGACACTGGTCAATATCCTGACGTAGAAGAATCCAGCTGACACCTTCCCATTCTACTTCTTTATGACTAACTTTAATATTATCCTGCCACTTATCCCTAGAAAGTCTTCAAAGCGATCTTTTCTTGCCTTCAGGTTTTCCACCAAAATTTGTACCAACTTTTCTTCTCACCCATGCATTCAACATTCCCCACCCATCTCACATGCCTTTATTTCATCGTCCCAACTATATTTGGCAAGGAGTACAAATTATGTAGCTCAGTCAAGCACCCTGTTCTCAAACACCCTCAGTCCATGTTCTTCCCTTAATGTGAGAAACTAAGTTTCGTATCAAAGCAAAACAAGAGGCAAAATTACATTTTTGTATACTTTAATCTTTATACACAGAACAGAGAAGAATTGCCTGCAATTCTCTGATGATCAATCACAGGATTTAAAACAGGACACGAAAACATTACACAGAGCAAACATAAAAGAGACAATAAATATCAGCTGATGAATAAGGTAAATGCTAGATTGGTTTTGTGTCAAGATCTCAGGTAAAACACAAACAGCACATTGTCAGTGGTGCAAACATGGGCACCTAAAAATTCTTTTATAAAGGGATGATCAAATGAAAAATATCTCTCTCCTTTCATGCCACATGTAAAGAAGTTATGAAATTCATATACAGCATTATTCTGACATGTCTGCTCCTTCTGATTAATTATCTTAAGATTTTTAAGACTTACAAAAAGAATGTACTAGGCATACAATGAGTGTTTCACTTTTCTCTATAGCTTTTGTTGGAAATATTTCTGACTCTGACAAATACTTAGCAATTTACAATCAAGATTTACGCCAAAATACATGTAGGTCTTCAGATAAAGTGTCCATTGTCATGGTGTGATTTTAACCAAGAACTGGAAAAATTCCCAATATGAAATTTAATAGAAATTCATTCAGCAGTTCTCAAATTGTTACATGCAAAGTGACAGACAGATACTGCACGGCTAACAGGTACTTCTTTCCAACTTCTCGCTGTTACCATGTTCAAAAGACATATGAGAAATTTCATCAAGTTTGTGTGTGAGCCAGATAATTAAACTGATCTCAGTAACCACTGAATTAATGTGTAAACCTTGTGCAGAGTACTGACAGTTATGCAACTCAAATGTATGTATAGCTGAATGGAAGGAACTGAAGCATACAGGATACTAATACCAGCATCTCACACAAGAGTGTGCTGGCCTAAAATGAACACACGAGATGCCTTCACAACAGGGATTGTGGCATAGGTTAGGAAGTGGCCACCAACGTACATGCTGGAATTGGATAAATGCATGTGACTAACTAAAATATATTAGGGGAACACAGTCTAAGGCGGATGTTCCCATTTTGGTATTAACTCTGTTATAACACGAAGGTACCCACATCATGTAGTGACTTCATACGTCCCACAGCACACTAGGTACACAAGTGTGCAATATTTTCTACCTCACCTTCACTCTTATAATGTCTGAGACAATGTGAAACAAATGTGAGAATACATGTATGTTCCAAATGTGTTCTTCGATATTTCTTATTTCTCACTGGCCTTCATGTTTACAGTACAATGAGTAATTACAAGGAATGTGATTCACAGATGTGGAACGGTGTAGTTTTGTAGCTGGGTGCCAACATCTGAAAGAAACCCATCTACCAAACAACACATCTTTACATCCCAGAAGGCCATGAATTTGATATCTACCCTTATGGGAACCTCAAATATAAAAATTTACAAAAGTTTTGAGTTTCATATAAAGTAGAGGTTATGTTAGGCCAGTATGAACCGAAACCAACTTTGTTCAGCAACTTTTGGTATTGCTTCCCAATACCAAATTTTGTTTAAATTTTTTCATTAGTATCAGATATAAAAATCTGTAAATGGGTGAACACACTCACTATTAGTGTCGTCATCATCGAGATCTGTTACAGATATTACAAAACAGAATTGTGTCATCATTTCAAAGTCTTCCCACACTTCTCTTTCCTTATGGATGACATTTTAAGATCTTCCCTGCAGCTCTGTCAGTGCTTATATTCTTCACATTAACCATCAATGTTATGAACTTCATTTCAAGACTGGATCAGAACTCTGTCTAAATTTTTGTTACAAAAGGAAAACTGGGCGATGAAGTGACAAATACTGATATTGGTTCTGAAACTAATTCTGTGAATCCTGGCAAAAAGGGTTGCTGTCCCCAACCCTTTGTGGAAGCACCTGAGTAGTCTCTGCTGCATACGGAATAACATTCAAATCCACATCATGGTTCTGTCTACTCAACTATTTCTCAGAAATCAGAGGATAGAAAAATCTAAATAAACTAATCAAGAGCAGGTATCTGCCACAACCTAGCTAACAATATAGAAAAACTACCTCCCTGCCATCTGTTAATGAGAAGTGAAAATAAAATACCAGGCATAACTGAAAACTGTTCTGGGTGACATGTATGGACTGCCACTACTTGTCATGAACATCAGCCTACATTTTCACATGTTGGGGGGCCACCTCATTTTCAGAACACTCCTTGAAATGTAATCCTCATGAAGTTACTGCCATCCATCTTGTCTTCACTGAAACTGACAGGTTAATAAATAGCCAAATGAAAACAAGACCCACTGAATTTATTATAATTTTGATTATAATTATGTTGGCATACCTGTGTTTATTATAGTCCGGTGGTTTGCTGGGTTTCTCATTCTTATTGCTGATTGGCTGAGCAGTAGAGCGTGTAAATCGGTATGGATCATGGTTCCGAGGAGAGACACCAGTTCCATTACTGGTTCCACACTTGAGGTCATCATGAGCATTAGGGCCAAGGCGATTGTTGTAAGAATCGTAAGATGATACACTATCATAGCTACTCTGTAACAGTGAATTGTCTCTATGAGATGTGAAGTTATCACTGAGAGCATTTATATATTCATCTTCTAGACATGCCACCATCTGGCATGGTAGACAGACAGCATAGCAGCGGAAAGTACTGTCTCAGGGTCAACTGTGAAGGAAGAGGCAATGTGTTCTCCGAAACACTGATTCCTGTCTACTACATTATATAGCAGTACATCCCAGAAGACCACAATCTTGAAGTAAATCCCTCATTGTACTTTCCAGCTAACATTCCAATGAATTATAATTAATGAATATTAGGTAACAAACATCATGTTCTCTTCCAGCAGATCTTAAGAACTTATCATGTTCCAACAACCCTTTCTGGACATTAATCTGACATATTACAACCCTAAATTTCACCTTACTGAGTCATACAAAAACTAGAGTTTGTTCATTATCTCAGGAACCAAAGATAATACATAAAGGGAACACTTACCACCATCCACTCAGTTAAAAGCATCATGACATTAGTTAGGAAGAGTTCTGTCTTCTGGGATATAATGCTGTGTAGTTCATTACAAGTAAACCAACATTTCAGAGAAACATGATGCCTCCATCTTCAGGGTTAAACAATAAGCCAAGCCACAGTTTGCTTGCTACCTGCTTCACACATACCTCTTGCTTAGCTTATTCTTGGACCCTGAAGATGAAGGCAACATCCTCCTCAAAACGTCGGCTGACTTCCAATGGACTATGTAGTTTTATATCTCAGAAGACAAAACTCCTCAAATTTGGCCTGGTGAGAGATACACAGAGACAAGAGCTCAGAAACCTTCCAGCGAAGGTTGCTGTACATACCGTTTTCATGTTGTGACGCTCCAGAGATGAATTTGTCTGTCCAGTAGGCCTATGATGAGGTGTGGCATTGATGTAGTTTGGAGGGTCGAGGCTGGAATCACCAGCATCCCCCGATCCACCATCACCCTTCCCAAAGAGCCGTTCAGCAGCCGACCTACTAAGCGTGCCACTGCCTCCCCGAGATGGTTTGTTAGAACGATCAATTCTTGGGGGCAGCTCTGGTGGACTCTGGCCTGGGGGAGACCGAGTTACAGGGGGTCCCAGTCCCTGATGTTGATGTGAGTGTGGTGGAGGGTAGTTCAGGTGTATGGTTGATGATGTCACAGGGGATTCGCCGTGATGAGGCGGAGGTGAGAAGCCATATTTACTATCACCACCCTGTGACCTGCGTTTGTTGCTTAGTGAGAGTGGCAGGTTGTGGCTGTGGCCCCCATGGTGATGGTGATGGCTCAGGTGATCCGACGGACCCAGTCCACCAGCTGACCCATTGTGGCTCTCATAATTCTGAAATTGGCAGGGCATTCTGACAGTTGCAAAACAAAACTGAACATTCAACTTTTCACTATTTTGTGGACTATCTTAAAAGTGCTGTCAGCAGCTAGACCGGAGTTCATCCACGCTACAAACCAGGGACAATTACACCTTGTATATGCAACCTTAAGGGGAAACAGTCCTGTGTATGTATGTCTGAATTTACCATTGGCAAGAGTATATCAGAAGCAAGCTGAAAATATAATCTAGTAACTTTCTAATAATGATGCAATGGTCCACGTCACTAACAATTATGAACTCATTCCCAAAATAGGTGGACTATATGCACTGTTAAATAGTAGGATCACAAACTGGAAAGGATTTGGAAGGAAATGGTTATGGCCTAATTGAGGTACCACGCCAACATCTCCCTGGAGATACTACCAAAAGCAATGAAATACCTCAGTCAGGATAGCCAGGGTCCCAGATGGGATTCAAACTAAACACCTCCTGAGTATGTATTTACAAAGTTACTGCTCACCAACCAGCTCACTTGATGAACGTGTTATAATGAAGGAAGGCAGCAACATACCATAGCATGCAGACTTGCTAACAGGCAACAACTATGAAATAGGCAGCTATACAACAAATGTTGCTAGGTAATGGCTCTTTAAACAAAAGCCATTGCTACGTAATGGATGCAAGAGATTCATAACATGTACCAGTAGAGTAACTGGGACCCAATGTTCTCTACGTGATCTGTGTGATGGCTATATGACAAAACGGACAACCTGATGGGAGAGTTTTTTCTGTGCGGTCAGTGCCAAGGTGTTATAAGCAGGACAAATCTACAGTTTAGTTAGTTGTGAGACAGTCACCGACCAGTAAGGACGTGGACAAGGAAGCTGAGGAAGCTATGATATTGGTAGCCATTACCAGGTGACAACCAGTGAAGATACAGCAGACTGAAGTCTTAATGCATGCTGCAGCAAATTGTGGAGAGTGTGAATTAGCAACAGTGCATAGTTACTTGTTGTTATGTTCTGTAAGAGTCCAATAAATCCAATCACCAATCCAAACTCCATCCAGATTCACTCATCCGCGGGACAATATGCCAAATTATTATATAGCACACAAGCTGGTCCACTGACAGAACGAATGGCTGTACTCCTCAACCCCTCTCTTTGTAGTTTATTACGCTAACTTGCAGCCTGTTCGCATGGGCTATATTCCCTAATCTTTGGAGGTGCAAGAAAAGGACTAGAATAATGACACTGTAATGACTAAGAGAATATTAATAATAAAATGCTACATCTCATATAATGTGTGTTCGTTGCCCAGTCTAACCTCTTTTAATGCTGTCATCACTTAGAGTACATGGGGGACACAGCAAAGTCAATTTCTAGCCTCACGTAAAGTAGACTTTGTATCTGTTCAACATGACTAAAAATCAAAATGGCTAACTGAAGTTATGAAAACACCTCTCATATCGAATTTCACTAAAATCTGATTCTTTATAATGGAAATACTTGGCTGACAAAGTTCCATGAGGTCCCCCTTACTGAGTTCTTGAAGTGTCTACCCTGAAGATGGAGGCAGCAGGTCCTTATAAAGTATCCATAACACTCCCTCAAGCTATGCAGCAACACACCCCAGACAACAGCATGCTTCAGATTCAGGAGTTCAATTTACAGGGCAGCACACACTCACCTGTCTGTAGTGGTTGCTCGGAGAGTATGGGGGAGGTGCACTATAACTAGGCACCCCCCCGTCCTCTTGAGTGGCAATGCTGGGGTCAGACGAGCTCTTCACAAGGCGAGGGGGCCCTGGCCCTGGCCCCGGTGGAGGGGCTGTAGACCCAGGAGGGACAGCACAGCGGGGCTCTGGGGAGAGGTCCAGGTCCGACTCAGGAGACGAAGCGTAGGAAAGGCGAGAGGTCATGGGGAAGAGGAAGTCATCAGACAGGGCTTCATCCGGCTGCAGAACACAACGGCTAGAGGTTAGACGACAACACAATGCAAAACAATACAATGCACATGCATGTCAGCAAAGGAAACGAAACATCCCGACACATCTTGGCTGACTGAGTGTCTGAGGCAGTTGCTCAGCTCATGTCTCTGAGTTGTGGCAGCACACAGTCTACTGGGCAGATACTGGCATTTCGCATGTCACACATCACATGTACCTCCTGCCTCTCAAGAGTGTAACGTGAGAAGTCTGTTGGGGTATACATACAGATTTCATTCACAGATTTAGAGTGAACAGTTTAATTTCTATATCATCGTTTTATAGGAGAACTTCAATGCTGATTTAAGGTGCACTGAATAAATATCTGAAGAAGGACCTGTCCTTCCTCCAGCATAGTTCTATCAACAGGCTCTTGTTTACTCAGTATTCAATGTGAATGATGTTTTTTTTTGTTAGCCCTTTCACTTCTGTATACATAAGAGGCAAGCCTAATTACAAGCCTGAGTTTAGTGCAATCTCTTTTCTTTCAGCAGGCAAATGTGACCACAATGTGAGGTTATACATTCAATCAAAAAATACTGCAATTCAAACAGGTAAAAACAAAACAGAAATGAGCATCACTATTTTCAGAAACATCAGCAAACAGATAACAAAAGCTGTCCTCAGAAAACACTCACAAGTCAAGACTATGCATCAACACTATCACACAAACATGCACCCAGTCACATTCCAAGCTAACAAACAACACACTGACACTGATGTGAGGGTCTCACAGCAGTGACTATGAAGATCATTGCCTTCTGGGATGTGACACTGTACAGTCTGGTACATGGCAGCCATTGTTTTGGAGGAAGGTACTAGGTCCATGTTTAGGATAGAAGAGTAATCTCAATTCTGTCTCCAAGATGGAGGCAGCAAGTCCCTCCAAAATGTCAGTAACGATCTACAAGACTACATGGTATCACCCCCCAGGACAGTAAGCTTCGTTTGCACTGTAACAGACTGTCTAAAAACCATTGTTTTTATTGTAATTTGCTTGACTCAAACAAAAGACAGTTTCTCCCTGTGGCATACATGTGTAGTCTTGATACTGGAGGCACATAAGGGGGGTTAGCTGGTGTGCAAGGAGTATCCCCTGGCGAGATGATGGGGGGGTCCAAATGTTCTCACCCAAAAAAAAAATGTTGAAAAAGAAAAATGCTTATTAAATTATCTGAGTATAAAAACATTACATGTGAGGTGGAATACTCCAGCTGAATTTATATATAGTGTGGCAATGAGTATGACAATAATAAAATAAAAGAAAAAAGTAAATTATACAGCTCTTATGGCACATACTGTGGGAAACGCTGATGCAAAACAACAAATTGGAAGGCCTGGCCATGGTTCCAATTGCATCATGAAAGAGGCCATTTACTTTAACAGCAACCCACTGCTATACATGCCAGTAAAAAGCCACGATAATGATGAGGTGGAGCTAAACCTTTCCTAAATCACTTAAGTTCAATGAATGCTGATATCAGACAATTTAATTTAAATGGCTTTAAAACATATTCCTGTGCATTATGTCAAAGGGGAGGGCGAGGTAAAGCTATCCCTATAACAGGCTGTGGAGGCCCACAGGGTTGTGAGATGTCAAGGCTCACAGATGATGGTGAGGCTCTCAGCCTTATGCACCGGCCAACCTTTAGACCCACAGGAAGACTCCTGGTACTTATTTCTGTTAGAGGCTGTGTCGACCCCAGGGCCATAGTTCGGCTGGAAGGATTAGTCAACTGAAAACTCCAATGACCTCATTGGGACTTGAACCCACGACCTTCCAGCTTGTAGCACAGTGCCTCAACAAACTATGCTACTGCATGCCCCTGCATTATTTCAGCAGCAAACATTAAATATTATGTTACACTGTTTTAGGCAGAGAAATATGTTATATAACAAAATAAAAAGTAGAAAGCCCACCTCCACTGGCACGATGCATCAATCTTGATTATTATCAACGTGTCAGGAATCAGGAGCCTTTTTCATGCAAATTTCACACTTTACATCTATCCACATTTACAATCACTGGAACTTCTTAACAGATTTCAGCATTGCTAGGCACTGATAGTCAACACTATAACCTGCTAGATGCATTTTACATAACCAGTACTTCAAATAAAGCTCAGATTGAAATGCATAAATTTCCTGCGGGAGGGGGGTTCATTATGCACACACAAAAAAGGTTGTATGACATGAAATATAGACCCATAAGGATTAGTTATAAATATTTTTTTCATGTGATGCACATTTAACAAACTTACAAGGACTTAAGTTCTAAGTATATGCAGTGTAACACCTTTGCCACATTAGGGTTTTATCTGTAATAAATTAACACCAAGGCCAACAATGAATATAAAATAATAAACATCAATTCTAAAGGATTCTGATGACGGTACACTACATTTAGAATTACTGGCTTCCTGGACTTTGTCCATCATCTCATATTCCAAACAGAATGCAGTGTGTAGGAAACTTGTCCATCTCCAACTCAGCTGAGTCTGTTAAACAAATCCAGTATCTCAACCACTGGACAAACAACATGTACTCCAGAAGAGCACACATTTCCACATACCAGATGTACCACTTGATTGAACATTTATGAAACCCAATATGCTACCAACAGTGTATTTATACATTTTGTATCCTTCTCACAACAAACAGCAACCATTTCCCTAAACAATGTTAATGAAACGGTCTTCAGAATGAAGATACAGTGTTTTCTGTGCAGTGGAACCAAATTTTTAAATATTATTTGCATAAAGTTCAGTCTTCAAAGGTTTTCAGGAAATGTGTCCATATTCACAGGGATTAAACACTTCCAAGGATGTCAAAATGCTAATGCCCAGGCAAACAGTGGCTAACACATCTGACTGACACATTTTTACAAACACTAAATTGGTACACAATACAGAATGCCAACAGCAGTGATCTGGAACGGTCAAGAGCCTTGTAATTAAACCCTGAGTTAGGGCAAACGCACATTTACCACATAACATGCATCAAGTACATTTTAGTAGGCACATCCAGAAATTTTGTAACAAGTACAGCATAACATGGCAGTCTTTCTTTTAAAATGTGAGTGCTTTCATTTAAGAAGTATATATCAACTACTCTGTTCAATGTTTATCTGTAATATTTTCGATTCTGGTCAATATTTAACCATTTCCATGCTGTTTTTTCTCCTAACACATTCCTCACTGGATGTACTGGTGTAGTTTAGGTTTTTCAAAACAGTGAAGATGGACAAACCTGGTTCCTCCAGAACAATGATAATGATATAGCACACCACATCTCAGAGGAGAACAATCTACTGACCTCCTTTTGTTACTGCATTTCCACAGTAAGATATAATTTTCACTGTTCACTATGAACAGTTAGTATTGCTATAAACACTCACTAATATGGATGTTGGATAATCAGATTGAAATATGAAAAATGAAAACTTATATTCACAGTTGAGTACATAATTCAAAAGACAGATGGCATTTAGGAGCAACAGGACTTTTTCTCTTGTGTAATATACAAAGGCTTCTCTGCTCTATGCACTTCTTTCATCTTAGGTTCTTTATATCTGGGGTTCCAATATTATGATTTGAAGCCAAATACACAGGATTTGCTGTGTTGTCAGGTAGTATGGTAATCTTATTGTGGAATATCTGCAAATACACAATATTTTTATGATGCTGCTTGGCCCACATTGTCCTGACATTTAGTCTGAACTGTTCACAGAATTCAGCTGCTGCTGGCTGAGACATCCCAACTTGGCACAATCCCATGCAACACTCAAATAAAGCCAAAGAATTGCTCAGTGACCACTGGAAGGAAAGAATTGTTGTTGTCCAACAGATGGCTGGGCTCCACCACAATTTCATATGGAGAAAGGTAAGGGGGTGGAGAGGGGGGAAGGGGCGCCAGATACATGTCGGACAGGAACTCGATCGGCTGGCAGACCAGAAAACAATGTGTTAGCATGTGAGACTTGAGTTTCTCATCGCTGTGAATGTTAAGATCACAGTCTTCTGCGATGTGATGTCTCATAATTTTGTAGGTACATGCTGATGCTTCAGAGGAAGTTACCGCCTCCATCCTCAGAGCTTTACCATGCTACACGGTGTGACATCACAAAGACTGTGATCTCAATGCGAAAGTAACATAAACTGGGTCAGGACAACAAGTGAGAAGGAGATCAGCAGACAGTCAGACCACTATTTTCAATGTGGCAAGTAAATGAACCCTCCTCCCTTATGTTTTTTAAACAGTCATGTGACTCATAACCTTAGAAGAGGCAGTAGAGTTTCCGGTGAGGGAGAGGTAACACTATTCCCCCCCCCACTACAAGATCAAAATATGGAATAAAGATCCAGTATAGTGAAATCCTCATAAAATGTTTCTGTACATAGTGAAATCCAGTGATTAATGAACTTTTGTTCCAGCTCTCAGCTAAAGAAAGCCCAACATTAAGTACTGTTTTCCTATATCCTGACTGTATTGGCGAGCCCTACTTCCTTCTTCACTGGAATCTGAGTACACTGAGTGCAACATTCCATCCCTGACATGTTACTCAATGAACACACTTCATAACATAGATACTAGATATCTAACATGAAGAAACTGTCCCAGAAAATATGCCATAAAGAATGCCCCCCTGCTTAACTGACAGCAGAATTTTAATTAACCTGTACATGACACTTTAACGTGCCATACTGTTTACTGCACAGGGCACCTAGTGACCATAACCTGAAATGTAATCTTGTCTAACAGACTACCTTGTTCTCACTCATCCAGACTGGAGCACTTTGCTGTTTGTCTATGAGTTCCCGCACTTTTCTGTACCAGGATTCAGGGCTTGTGAGCGTGATACTGCAGCTGAACGTATGGCCCCAAACCTTCTCCAGCTTCTGGCACTGTTCAAACAGTTTCTTGCTGCTCTTGTGTGCCGCCCTGCAGACACACACCAATGTTACCATAACCTGTTCCATGTATATATGTTAACAGTATTCTCTCTACTTCTCTGCTAACAAATGCAATCAACACATCCATTCTTCTGTTTTGTGTGCTGCAATGATGATGATGATGTATTATTATATAATATTTAATAACAATATTGTTATATAATCCATTATTATTATTTATTTTTCATATCATACAATTGAACTTCATGAACCTACACAGAAGGAATCACACATGGAAATACACCACAGCACAAACATTTATATAATAAATACCATCATGAGTTACGAGAACCTGAGAAAGCCCTAAAAACCACTGATGAAAACAGATATAGGAACACAGTGAAAGAAGAGGGAAGACTTTTATACAGACCCTGATTAAAATTTTGGTTTCATTTTAACTACTTCAAATCATCACAGACTGGAAAAAAGTACATTTACATATAGTGAGAAATAAAGTTGGAAAATCCGCCACTACAACAGGTCACACCCTGGAAGTGTTCAGTGTTACACAGTCCCAGTGGACCACAGACTAATGTTGCTTGTGCAACAGCAAAGAAATAAAAGCGTGAGACAACTGGAAGTATGGAGGTCAATGCAAGTCAGTCAGTGCCATATACCAGAAACAGCCTGTATCATGCATTACGAGGAGCGTTCAAGTTCTAAGGTCTCCGATTTTTTTTCTCAGGACTGGGACATGCGGTTTTGTTTAAAATACGTGTGCACTCTTTGTGAATGCGTGACAGAGATGGCAGAACTCTACGGCACACAGAACTCTAGTAGTAGCGGCGAGTGTGAGGAGTGTTTTTGATACTTAAAATGGCGACGTTTTCGTTACAAGAACAGCGAGTAATCATTCGTTTTCTCCACTTGCGTGGTGCGACACCCATTGAAATTCATCGCCAGTTGAGTGAGACGTGTGGTGATGGTGTCATGAATGTGAAAAATGTGCGTTCGTGGGCGCGACAGTTCAAAGAAGGCCGAACGTCGTGTGACAACGAACCAAAACAATCTCGGCCTCGCACCAGCCGGTCTGACAACATGGTCGAGCGAGTTCAGAAAGTTGTTTTGGAGGATCGCCGATTAAGTGTGGAAAACATTGCCCCCAAAGTTGGCATTTCCGTGGGATCTGTGCACAAAATCTTGCATGAAGACCTGCGAATGCGGATGTCCTCCAGGTGGGTGCCACGAATTCTGGCAATGACCACAAGGCTGCACGCATGGCAATTTGCCAGGCGATGTTGACACATGATGAAGGCATGAATGGGACTTCCTTTTAATCAACTATGACAATGGATGAGACATGGATGCCGTTTTCCAATCCGCTATTGCATCAGCAATTTTCCAGTGGTCAAAACAGACTCCTACAGAAGCGTTCGCAGCGGCCATGAAATCATGGCGTCAACGTTGTGAAAAATGCGTGCAGCTGCAGGGAGATTACGTTGAAAAGTGACAGAAGTTTCAAATTTTTTGTATGATTATTGTGTGAGAAAAAAAATCGGAGACCTTAGAACTTGAACGCACAACGTATTGATTCCAAAGGGTTTATGATAGACTCAGAGCCCCATGACTATGCAAGTCCTAGTGTAAAAATGTTATGTCAGGATATTCAGAAGTCAGTAAAAGTAAAGACAAGAAGGGTGACAGCATATCATCATTACTGATGGGTCACAGAAAAGTTCCTTCGACTAAAGCACAAGGATGCTCCATGTCATGTTCTTCTCTTACACAAACACTAATATAACAGTAAGACAGATACAAACTCCTAGCATTATGATTACAGCCTCAATGATGATGATAGCTGGTGATATAATAGTAATGATGATGATAATCAAGACGAATAAGGTGATGATAACACAACACATCAACAAAGTCAGAAGGAATAGTGAACTGGAAAGATCTAGTGATCGAAGTAAAGTGTGTGCAGAATGTGTGAAACTGAAATTCTTCCAAAACCATTTCAAAAGTATTCAGGAGTCATCCCTATTAAACTCGCTAGCACAGAACTGTGGAAGATGGCCACTGCAGGAACTGCACAGAACTGCAGAAGATGGCCACTGCGGGAACCGCACAGAACTGCAGAAGATGGCCACTGCAGGAACCGCACAGAACTGCAGAAGATGGCCACTGCGGGAACCGCACAGAACTGCAGAAGATGGCCACTGCGGGAACCACACAGAACTGCAGATGATGACCACTGCGGGAACTGCACACATCTTGGGGAAGACAATAATGTAGCACTACAGAAACCAATGATCATCTGAAACTTCTTGCAACTCTTTGCCATAATCCCTCAAATTCAAGAGCTCTGCCAAGGGTTTGCCTTACTTAGCTATTTCAGTCGATGAATGTTGTGGCACTGTTCCCAGAACTGATATCAACCACAGGAAATTCACACAGAATATTGAACATGACAAAACATGCCTGGTTATGGATATGAACTCAGTGAATATCAGATGAAGTAAAAGTAAAGCAATCCCAGTACCAGTCCATGAAGGCCCAGAGGGTTGTGAGATGTTGAGGGTCCCGCATTATCTAGACAATCAGCTCAAAAATGGTGGTAAGGTTGTCAGCCCTATGCACTGGCTGCGCTTTACTCCCCAGGAAAATTATTTTAATTAATTCCTGGTACTCATTTCTGTTGGAGGCTGAGTAAACCCCAGGGCCTAGTGCAGCTGGAAGGATTAGGTCGACTGAAAAATCCAATGACCTCATCGGGACTTGAACCCGCGACCTTCCGGGTGAATATCAGATAGGGAATAAAATACAACAGGGAAAATGGAGTCAGCTGGTTATTCTGAACATTGGTACCAACCTACCAAACTACACCACATTCCAGAAGACCTTGATCTGTAAGAAATACTATCCACATCTGCCATTACAATTATGAAGGTGATGAAAAACATGGAGGTTACATCTGACAAGTGTAAATAAAATCTGTATGGGTGGAAATTATGGACAGAAACTCTTCACAAAATAGTATAATTTTTAATTCATAATTCTTGCTGTCCTGATCATAGACATCAAAACATTTTAAGGAAAGTAACAGTAGATTTTCTACAGCTTCTTGGTTCTTCACATTAATGTAATGAATAAGAACATCCAACTTAAAGTTTCTTACATCTTTATTGCTGTGGACAACTAACTGTCTGTCTGTCTGTCTGTCCATGGTTCCTTCCTGTTTTGTCACTTTTCTTTATGCCGCAAGTATTTGGAGAAATGTTATGGGCAGATGAACCAATATCACAGTGTGAAGAGAGAGATATGAAGAAGCAGGATACCAAAAGCAAGCAGTCTACAGGCAAGCAACAATACACTTCAGTACTCACCAGCCGAAGACATCCACGAATGAGCTAGCAATGAAACAAATACAGCATTACTCATCTGTGGTTCATATTTCAGAAACAATCGCTCCCAAAGAAGCCAACTCTCCCCTTCAAGTACACTAAAAGCAACTGCAAACGCAGATGAGCACTATCTTCTTGAGTGTGACGCCATGTATCCTGGTAGAAGCTCATCAATGTTTTGGCAAAACATACTGCCCCTTCCATCTTCAGGGTTGAAGATTAAGCATTCAAGCAGCTCATTCTGCGTGCTGCCCACTTCATGCTGGTTGCTTGCCCGGCTTGCTTTTTGACCCTGTAGACTGAGGTGATATGATCCCCCAAAATACTGATGAACTTCTGGCTAATTACAGAGCACCACTTCTAGAAAATAATACGCCTCACAATCACTGCCATGATAAACTGTAATCGAACAGCCACAAACCCACTTCTCCTATCTCAGAGGAGAACTAATTTGGGAACCATTGCTTTATGCATCAGTTTCTACCTAGCAGTTTTCGATAAGCAGGTATATCATGCGCCCTTGATAACTACAAAATGGAAACTAGCAAATCATGCATTACACAGTGTGATACAATGAGCAATACGTCACATGTGTCAAGTTGCAAGACTAGCAGATTGTTAGCACTGTTACAACATTCTGAGATCAACCTCAACACTTGCCAGCATGACTGAAAAAGCTTACACTTCAATCCAAAAAGATCTGTTATCATTACTGAAATTGATAATACAACTTGACAGCCTACTAGCATTATTGAAACAGATCATCAGGGCTTGCTTGCAATGCTACAGTATGTTTGTACCAACTTGATGCCTGCTAGCATTGCTACAGTATGTTTGTATCAACTTGATGGCTGCTAGCATTGCTACAGTATGTTTGTACCAACTTGATGCCTGCTAGCATTGCTACAGTATGTTTGTATCAACTTGATGGCTGCTAGCATTGCTAGAACAGATTGATCTCAGAGTTTGCTAGCACTGATGAAAATATGGGATCAACTAAATAGCTTGCTAGTATTTCTAAAACGTTTTCAAATCAACTGAAGGTGTGCTAGTGTTACACCTGATAAACATGCATGCAACAACTGACAGAAATTCATTTACCTAATACAGGCGACATGTGATAATTAACAAAACTTAGAAAGAAGTCAAGAAAAAGTTTCCAGTTTTTCAGAGATGTGCTGCATTCTAAAATATCTCTAATTTTAGGAGACTAGCTTTACACATTTCAAACAAAGAAGAAAGCAAACCAACTGCAGCCTCACAATCAACTTACTTGGACAGACCTGCCCTCAGCTCTTTAATAACATGTTTAGATTCTGCACGCAGGAAAATGACTATGGGGTAGAACTGGGCATAGTTTAGCCTGTCCACAGCATTTGGTGTGATATCCAACAAGGCGTGCTTCCCCCGGTCCATGATATCACGGATTGCACTCAGACGGATGATACCAGATGACTTCTGACTTTTTGGAACATCCTCCAAGTTGTTGTCCAACTCTGCGAACACAGCAGTGTCCTTAATTACTCATGGCTTATGGTCCAAACTGATCTCAAACATTCTGGACATTGTCCATCATCGTACTTGAGATGAAGTTTTTGAGAACGCACTCTGGCCAGAATATTATGTATGGTCACAGGTACTAGATCTCATATGTCTATCTTTACTCCTGCAAATGATGTCTGTCATATTTGGTTTATATATCATGTTACTTCTTGTGTTCAGAGACAGGGACTAGCATTACTGATTGGTATAAACAGTGTAAGCTTTTACCTGAGCATGGAGACAGAGTCCAGTGTCCAAAACACTGCCTCGAGTAAAAGTTAGGATGATGGATAACCTCCAAAAAAATTTTTGATGTGTTAATATGCCACTGTCACAAACACAATTCTAGATGCGGGTCTTATTCCTCCAACAGACTGCAGTCATGATAACATTACATGCTACACTTATATGCTAGATGCATCATTTGACAGGTTATGTTATGTTATGTTATGTTATGTTAGGTTACAGATGTGCATATATATGCTGTCACTCCAGTATCCCAATTTAGCCAAATTACTTTAATCTTAACAAAAGTATCTTAATATCAAAATGATCTGTGTGCTGTCTGCTCAGTTACAACGGATTTGCAGTGCACACACACAAGGCGTTTATGTAAGTTGATGGTCTACTCACGTGGAGAGGTAAACTTGTCTGGGAAATCTTTGAGCATTTTCTCACGGGCAATATCCGACACTGGGCCAAACAGTACCACAGGTCGCACAAAGCCAGGGTGCCTGAGAACAACCCGTTCATATGCTGGAAACTTGCTGATGCTGTCAGCAAATACCACATCATCCCAGTGGTCCTGCAACACACAAGGTGGAGATGACAAACTGCATTCTGCAGCACATGTCACTATATCAATCACTACACACATCATTTTCGGTGTAACAGCCACTGTGAAATTCTATACATTTCATTTTGTGTATAATCCAATACTAATTAATGTCATCTCAGAGATGTGATCAGTTCCTCTGTCCAATCAGTATTCAGTTATAACACGTCTCCAAGATATCTTGAGGTTTTCTCCTGCACTATGCTACTATTTTATCTTGCTATCAACAAACGGCAGCCTTATGATCTTCTGTGCCTTTTGCTGGCCAAAGGCTATACTACTGGTATACATAAAAAGATCTGAAAGGAATGTACCATTTAACTGTGCACTGCAAGGGCAGGAAGGGTGCCACTTAAAAGGGTGTTCACAGGATTAAATTATTTATATACTGAAGAGATCTGTCTTCTGGGATATAATGTGTGCAGTCTGTTGAAAATCAACTGATACTTCAGAGGTGTGCATGCTGCCAGCTTCATGATGGTATCTTGATGGCCTTCTCTTCAATCCTGAAAATGAAGATGACTTGTTCCTCTGCTCACTTTCACCAGACTACACAGTGTTATATCCCTTCATGCTCATGTCTCAAACAGAAGTACACAGTAGCATTCACATAAGAAATGTTCAGCCTTCCAAAACCTGTACCCAAATTTAGTGTAATTGTGGTCAAAACAACAACTACTGTACACGTTCTCTCTCTGCTAAAAACTGTATCTACATAACCTCTGTGTTTATTTGATGTGTCATTAATTATTTTATAACTAAATTTCATAGCATGAATTATGTAATTGTATTTATTTATGTAGACACTTCTGTAACAACTCATGTATAAATCATAATTACAGATAGTAAGTCTTACATGAAGATGAACAGTTTCTTGATGTAATTCTACATACCTCCATTTCAGAAAACTCAAGATTTTGTGTAATAAGATCTGTTCCCCCAGATTCATTAAACAAGGATTTCAATGTATATATGTTTTGAAAAGTATGGATACCAGCAGGCTAAGTCTGAATATCTGTTGTTTCCAGGTTTTACATCCTTTATTCCAGTCATTCAAACTCTTTCTACTTTGACCCTAGTATGTGGGAAGGTTGTTTTCCTGTTTAAGTAGCATAGGATTATCAACAGGTATTAACCATTTACAACTTAAAATTCTGCTGAAGTATTTGAAAAACAGATATACATGTATGATTGAAAAAGTTTTGTGTTCTAGGACTGGAGAATTAGTCTTACATTAATACCATTCCCAGGCCCAATATTTACAAATCAAAGAATAAAATAGAAGTTTCTTAGATCAGATTTATAGGATCTACATTAAACAACCCCTGCACCATGTTCATCTTCAATCTAAGCATGTCTTATACACAGAATTCAAGGATTCCCATAAGGACACTTTCTTGGAAGTGCACTTGAGCCAGACTGGCCAACTGGGCAAGCCCCCAGCTTCTTACTTCAAACAGGATCATTCTTACTCACCCTGCTGAGCGACTTGGATCGCCTATGACTGCCACGTCTTCTTCTAAAGAAGCTGCCCCGGCTCTCAGAGGCTGTCAGCTCTTTCTTGGTGGCATTGAACTGTGCTGTCGCCAGTTCCTCAGCACGTGACTTGTTTGGGATGATGCCCTTCTGAACCTCATGGTTATTTCTCCCTAAGGCAGTAAACTACCCATTAATGTGGAGACACAATCACTGAAGATGCAACTCAAATGATACTGGCATCTTAGAATCTCCACAATTAACTATAGGTACTGATGCAGCATAAATGGTTTATCTCACAACTTTCTAGCCACTCAAGTTATGATTAATCTGGCAACCGGTTAAGCAGACAAATATTCTGAGTACTAATTCCAGGATCTCCACAAATCATATCAAAATCCAGTCTTAAATGGTGCTGGTGGTACTTTCACCTTACAAGTTCACATGTCTGCCATGTTATCATCACCGATGGTATGAAATTAAAAAAAGATGATGGGTGGCCCCCAATGGCATGACCTCCACATAAAATTTCATGAAATTCCATCAACCAGTCCTATACTTGAGGGTGCAGACATATATATATGCAAACAGCATGATGATATCAAAAGCCTACCTCTCTTTAGGTTGATAAAACTGAGGTTAATGATGTGTACATTACACAAGCAAGCTATGCTACTATAAACTGAAACCACGGCAGACCGTGTGAAAAGATGTGTGAAGTTATAATTTGTAACTGTTAAGTGTCTGAGTTCTTGGATGTCATGTAAATACTTTCACCTTCATCAAGGCCACACATTTATCAGATAATGGGAAATGATCATTAGACAAGTCCACTTACCAATACGGAACACTTGCCAGGAACCTACCACACCGTTGTGAAGTGTGTCCACCACATGGAACACATCACCTTTTCGGAAACTCATCTCACCCTTATTTGGCTGGTCATAGTTAAAGTGAGCTCTGTAATTGAGGGAAACAGAATGCGCCGTCAAAATACAAACTGAGAAGTCGCATCAATCTGTAAACTAACTTCTGTCCACAGGTGTGAGGCTGGGAATGTAACCACACCATTTCCGAAACGCTGTGTTCTGCTCGGAATACTGGATGATGGACAAAGTCATAAATGCAAATCATGTATATCTTATCAATGAATGAACTCACTTGATGTGAAATGAGTCCCCTCGTTGACTCGCCACTATCTGCTCATACTCATCCTTCCGATACTGCACAATGAGATCAATCTGGTCCTGCAGACTGAGCAGGAACAGCACAGCCTCCTCCCTTGTCACTCCCTTCATGTCCATGTCATTCACCTGCGTCAAACCAAATCCTCTTTGTTAGATTTGAGGTGCTATGAAAAGTATAGCATTCTGGGTTGTATGTAAGGTCACATAGTCTGCAGACATCCCAACATTTCAGAGAAACATACTGTCTCCAGCTTAGTCTTCAACCCTGAAGAAGGAAGTGATATGTTCCTGCGAAATGTCAGTTGTTTTTTCTGAATTATACGGCATTACAACTCAGAAGGTTGTACTCTTCAATTGCCATTTGGTTATTCTTTTGCCAGCAATACAAGCTGGAGAAGCCAGGCTTCTGGGAAGTGATGTGGAAATGGGGGAAAAGCACTGTTCACCATAAAAACATTTTATCATATATAATGTTATAAAGGGGGACACAAAAAATGGAATTTGTTTCTAGAAGGCGAGGCACTTGTAGTACAGGCTTCTGTCGCTAGGTGGTTGTTTGCAGCACCTTCCTGAATCAGTATGCTGGCTGGTGTCGTCAGAGAAGTTTGCATTAGTGTTTGGTGATTTTTTTTCCAAATGGCTTTTTTATAATTCGTCTATTTTTTAATGGCTGATTCACATGAACAACGTGCAGCTGTGAAATTTTGTTTCCTTCTGGGGAAAGCAGCAGCAGAAACGGTTGTTATGCTACAAACAGCCTACAATGCAGCCGCCATGAGTAAAACACGAATTTACGAATGATTCTCCCGTTTCGAACGTGGTGAAATGTCAATCGATGATCAGCCTTGAAGTGGACATCTTTCAACCACCAGAACTGATGACATGACAAAACTTTGTCAAATCATCCTGGAAGATCGCTGGAATTATTATTTGGAAGTTTTTAAAAGGTTGCCTAACAGTTTAAGGAGAAAACGTCCCTATTTGTGACGAACAGGTGAATGGTTCTTTCATCACGACAATGCGCCTGCCCACAGAGCGCTGTGTGTGCAGCGATTTTTGACCAAAAATGGCATGACACCCCTGCCTCACCCCCCGTACTCACCCAATCTTGCCCCGTGCGACTTTTTTTATTTCCTCAGATGAAGAGAGACCTCAAGGGAAAACGTTTTGCTGATGTTGAAGATGTAAAGAAAACGACCAAAGCACTAAAAGGCATCACCAGCGATGAATTTAAAAATATGTTTTGAGCAATGGAAAAAACGTCTGGACAAGTGCAGGGAATCAAATGGAGAGCACTTTGAGGGGAATTCAAGTTTTGTTATGTAAAAATAAATACAGAATTTTTTGTAAATAAATTCCGCTTTTTGGGTCCCCCCTCGTATACTGTATAGTAGTGACACTGGCAAATTTGCAGATTGTTGTTGTTGTTGTTGTTGTTGTCTGTAGTTTATTTAAGGATATCTATAGTTCTGATTGCACACAGTTGGAGAGTAGAATGACTGGTGAATAATGAATTTGCAAACATGTGGAAGCTGATGGTTGGTGACTAATCTGACACTATCCAGGAATGTGCATGCAGACTCAGGAAAGACACAGGAAAAAAACGTCCCCAGTCAGAATAGTCGTTGTCTTGTGTTCTAGGACTGGAGAATACACCCCAAACGAGATTCAAACCAAGTACACCCCAAACACAAGTCAGAAGTGCAGCTCTTTTTATCACAGAACATAAGCTCAATGAAATGGACAGCCTCGAGCCACTGTACCTTCAGTATTTTGTCTCCTGGCTGCAGTCCTTGCAGAGACGCTGGACTTCCAGGCTGGACTGCAGTAACGAATATACCAACTTCATTACCGCCAGTAAGTCGGATGCCCACGGAGCCTTCTTTCTGGAATGTGATGAAACGAGGATCTGGCCTGCAACGAATTAGATTTACAATTGTGAGATCTTGAGTGGCGATCGTTATGATTACCGTCTTCTGCAATTTGGAATAGCCTGCAGCTTCCACATTCAAGATAGAATTGGGAGGGTTTGGGCAAAAGTGTTGTTAACTGTCTACCATACTGCATGGCATAACTTGACTGTGGTTTTTCATGGTTTTCCTCAATCCCTCTAGACAAAACCACGACACAGTACCTTAACTGCTTCCTTCCACATCCTTTCAAATCCAATCCATCATCCATTCATCTGATGCTAATAGCATGAGTTGCCAGGCACAACCTTTAAATAAACCATAGACCAGGACAAATGCTGTTTTCTGGATTGTGATGCTCAGCAGTCCAGCGTTAAGTTCACCACCATTTCAGAGGAATGTATTACTTCCATCTTCAGGATCAAAGATATGCTAAGCAAGCATCCAACACATTCAGACTGAAGACGGAAGCATCAGTGTAATTCTGTTGGACTATACAGCATCCCCTCCCCAAAAGACAGAACACTTCATTTCACTGCTGTGAGAACCTGAGATCTCGTGTGCAAATAAGAGATACATGATGTAACTGCCCACAAGACAGAAAGAACTCTTCATATTCCCAGCCGTGAGAACCTGAGATATGTGCAAATAAGAGATACATGTGTAACAGCCCATAAGACAGAATCTTGCACAAATTCACAGTTAATTTACAAAGCTGAGATCAATTATAAACACATGCTGTAGATATGACAGGCCTGAACATTACCAATGTGTCAGATGGCGGGAATCAGATCAAACATTACCCAATACTTCTCTCTCAATATGCTGTAAGCACTTAGCAAGAGTACGAAGTCGTGATCCCACATCAACAACAGCAGACAGTATCTTCAGCATGAATTGAAGCAGATATACAGAAGGAAGATTTGGGTGAAAACACTCGATTTCTGTCTGCCACAGTGGAGCAAAGTGAAGCTTGCAAACCATACAAAAACCTGCATGAGTCAATCTTAACTATCCTTTAATCCATTTGCATTTGCCTAACAGATTGTATTAATGAAACAGTATTTGTTCCAATGAAAGCAGAATTTGTGATGAGACTACATGGTATTGTGCTTATCCTGGATGACAATATTCCAGCTAAACAAATAGAACCACAGAATGGGGAATAACAGCTATCTGATAGCATGAACATGTAGTACCCTATACAGGGCATGCTGCAACATCCACAATAACTTTACCGTCACTGACAGCACCACAAAAGGAAAATGGAACATACACCACTTTCATGCAGAAAACCACCACATAATATGTGCACAAAGAATTAAGAAGCAACGCAGACTCCCAGAAAAGCCCCTCTACTCTACGATACATTACCATTGTACTTCAAACACAAGTAAACAAGAAAAATAATGTAATTTTAATGTTATCGTTTAACTGAGCATTTTAAGACTAATATTCAAATATAACGAAACACACGAACTGTAATAAAACTTATACTAATGATCAGTAATATGGATCCACATTTTAATAACAATTAGTACATTTCATGAAAATTGCCTCATAATGATCCAGCTGGATCGAAACATGTAACAAGTGTACATAATAAATGAATATTAATACAGTAATATTGGTTTATTTGTTACGAATCTGTCGTTTTCACGGTTTTGTAATAATACTGTAGAGATAAATAAATGTCCAGAAAACATACATTTCTGAGACCAGGCAGTACCTAAGGGAAAATACATATGTGCTTGTGTTGGAGAAACCATTCCTCCTTTGGGGTGGCACAGGGGGCTGGGAGAGGAAAGGGAAATATTCATGTAGGACAGCCTGTGAGCTACTCACATGGGTTGCTTGGAGCGCTGGAGCAAAGGGTCCTCCTCATACAGCTGCCTTCTGCTGCCACTGCTGCTGTAATAGTCTGAAACATAATGAGATCCAAATTATCCCTAACCCTACACACACTCTACTACTGATAGTAACATTAACCCCAACACAGGCTGTATTTACATCATACTATGAAGTATGTGGTCAATATAGCAGCAAGTATTTATCTCACAACAGTGATAATATGCAGGCCACTTTTCACTTTCGTGCACCCCTTGATATGAACACTGTAATTAGGTTGAGTAGAATCTTGTTCCATTTGAGGGACAAAGGTAATTCAGTTGAGCAGAATCTTGTTCCATTTGCAGGACAAAGAACTTTCTGGGGCATATGAAAAGATGAAGTGACTGTAAGGTACAGTATTTCATCTGAAGGCACTTCCCTAACCAACAAAACCCTTCATTATGGTTCTGTACAAAAATACCTGTCACTGTGTCACTTTTGGGACACACATGTGTGAAGTGACTTTCTGTAAGATTTAGTACATAAATCCTGAGCACAGGACTCAAACATATCCATTTTTATTCTACACTGTTAATCTTTTTCAACCAGCTATTTCAGAACATACAACAAACAAAGGTAAGTGATATTTGGAGAAGATCAGAAAATTTGAGATTCTCAGAAGTAAGTAACAAGGAAGACAGGGCATAAACTGTAAAACGGGAAAATATTTTTCAGGATGCAAATCTGAGATGTTTCAGCAAGGAAGCACTATTCCAGAACAATCCATACTTTATGAAGACTATTTCAGACTTCCAAAATTTTATCTGCCATACAAAGAATTCCCCAAATGCTCCTGTGTCCAAACACTGTGATCACTGAGAGGTCACACTCACCTTCTGGCCGAGGGGGCGGAGGCCTCGGCGGGCTTCCCAGAGGGTCTGGTGGACCCAAGGAAGGAGCTGCATCATCCAGTCCACTACGTGAACGTGAGTGTGAGTGTGAGTGAGCATGGTGATGAGGAAGGCCAACGGGCGTGGCTGGGCGGTCCAACTGACTGAGAGACACTTCAAGGAGTGGGCCTCGTGACCGGCCCCGTGGGACTAGGTTACTCTTATCCTCCACCAGATTGTGCTGGTGTGTTGGATGGCCACTCCGTGTCGGCGGTTGCACGTACAGGTTCTGGGATGAGTAATTGGGCCCGCTCAAACCATCCAGGTAGTTCCCATGTGAATCTGCACATATACGTGCAATATACATATAATGCAATTTTTGTGTGTGTGTGGTTCATTTCACAACACACAGTCAGGCAGTAGTGAATGGCAGGAACGTAGATGAATGACAAACTCAAAGTATCTGGAAGAGGTCATGGCCTAACTGAGGTTCTGTGCTTCCCAGGGAATAAGATCCCAGTACCAAGCGGACAGGAGGCAGGATGGTCTCAACCAGTTTACAGAACCCAAAAGTTCTTTACCCTATATCAGGAGAATGTTACTAGACAGGGGCATGTGGTAGCTTAGTTTGTTGAGGCACTATGCTACAAGCCAGAAGGTCGCGGGTTCAAGTCCCGATAAGGTCAATGGATTTTTTTCAACTGACCTAATCCTTCCAGCCGTACTATGACCCTGGGGTCAACTCAGCCTCTAACAGAAATGGGTACCAGGATATTCTTGGAATGTTCTTGGGGGTAAAGGGCGGCTGGCACATAAGGCTGACAACCTCACCGCCATCTATGAGCCGACTGTCTAGAAAATGTGGGAACCTCAACATCTCACAACCCTACGGGCCTCCACGGCCTGTTACAGGGATACCTTTACTTTTTTTACTTTTATGTCACTTTACTTTTTTATGTCACTAGACCCTATCATGAGCCAGCTGAGTCTCCCTAGTGGTCTCCTTCCTTCAGGGTTTTCTGGAAAATGTTCTGTATTCATTTCTCACCTGCTCAGAGCTGCACATGGTGTAACTCCTATTTAAGGCTCCTTTGAGGAACAGTGGATTTGGATACTAAACTGAGGAAAATGTTAAAATGCACATCATTTGACACCAAGACGGCAAAAAAAGCTTTAGTACAGAAAATGTGTAAGAAAGAGAGCTCTAAGATAATATTAAAATTAAACATAGAGAAACAGAGTGGGATGATGTGGAGTGGATTTGGTTCAGGATAGAGACCAGTAGTGGGCTCTTATGAACATGGTAATGAACTCTTGTGTTCCATAAAATGCTGAAAATTTCTAGAGCAGCTATGTAAATACTAGCTTCTCAAGAACGACTCATTTTCATGGAGCCACATAGATCATTGACTTTGAATGACTAAAACGAATTGTTAAATGAGACAAAACATTAACTGATGAGCATTCAACTGACACTGCTGCTAACCTTTGGGCAGAGCTGTTGACTCCACATTGTTGCCAGGTTTGTGTTCTCTTCTTATCACCAGGTTCAACTTCTCCTTGCTAGCCTCGATGAGTTTACGGGCCTCTTTGAGGCTGAGTCCCTCTGTAGTGTGGTTGTTGATCTTGAGCAGAATGTCCCCCTCCTGCAGCGTCCCTCCACTGTCCTTGCCTCCAACCCCATCCAGAGTGGCTCTGTTTGTTGCCACCTCCCGCACATAGATCTTGCAGCCCAGCACCAAACCAAAGTCTGCACAGCACACATGTACATTAGCGTCAGTTCAGGCAGATTCTGTTAGTTTCAGAGGAATCTGTAACCTACACCTTCAGGATACAAGAGCATGGAAGCAGAGTTGGAAGACATACAATTAAAACAGTTTGGCCACATAAAAAATGGACAGAACTAAAATTCCAAAAAAGGCATCAAAATTAAAATTTAAGGGCAAGACATATGGGATGACCCAGAACAGTATGTACTACAAATCAAGAAAGGAGCAAAGAAATGACAAAAAAAGAAAAAAATCCAAAAGAAAATATACCAAGTTTTGAGAAAATTAATTCTGTCACGTCAGCATCCTAATATATATCCTAATCACATACAAACAGTTATTTCTAATGCAAGGGTAGTAGAAATTTTTATATTACCTCTCAATTAGTGCACATTACTATCCTAAAGCACTGTGGTTACTGTATGTACCCCCTCCAACACTGTAAGATTAAACAGCTCAACATTTAAACCACAGAGTGTATCTGTGCTTTGTAAAATTCTTACAATAAAAAGCAACAACCAATTTGCTTTGGTGAGGGGGTTACAGTATGTTTTCTGTGAGGAAGGAAATTAGTTTTTAAATAACACTTATCAGTCTATGATCCTTAGGTTTGAAAGGTTTACAGTGGATAGATGTACAGATCCAAAGTTGGTTACTGTCTCCTGGGATGTAGCACTGTGGAGTCTGGTAAAGTTTCTTTGTTTTGGAGGGATCTGCTGCTTCCATCTTCAAGGTGGAAGAGTAAGAATACTCCTGTTACCTGAAAATGGAGGCAAAATATTCCTCCGAAACATTGGCAAGTATCTAGCAGATTACACGGTGTTACATCCCAGGAAACAGTAATCTTCAGGAGAAGACGTAATACGTGTAAAAATGGAGGTCTTACCGTCTTTCTTCTTGCTCTTTGTAAGACTCAATTTGAGGGTCTGGGGTTCAGGGCACGCTGGTAACACGACTCTCCGCCGCACCACAAGCAACACGGTGTTGCCACTGTCTCGCAACACCTGCACAGCTGTTGCGTACTCCACGTTCTCAAGTGACACTCCATTGGCACTGATTATCCGATCATTCACTCTGCAAACAAACGCAACCCCCTTCACTGGCGTGTCATGACACATACCCACCATATCAGACCACTACAACATGTCCACTGACACTTAGGTGATAGATCTATTGCATTCACGTGCCTGCAACAAACCTCACACCAGTAGCAAACACGTGACAGTTTACCCTGAAAGTAACAGACGAATACATTACTCTACGATGGGATGGATTGGATTGATCTGGCTCAGGATAGGGATCAGTGGAGTATTCTTTTAAACACGGTAATGAACTTCTGGGTTCCATAAAATGCTGGGAAGCTCTTGAGTAGCTGCACAATTGGCGGCTTCTCAAGAAGGGCTCAGCCCCACGAGTGAGTGACAGAAGTGAACCACGGGTTGAAATAAAGTGGGCTCTAACAACTTAATATTCAAGCAGTTCCATCTGCTCGCCCTCGAGTATTCATACTAGAAGAACAATTTTAAAAATGTTTCCAAAATTTTATATCAATATTAGCTACACTAATTTTTCAAATTTTGATTTTCTACAAAAATAAGGGAGGGGGCAGATGCCTGCTTCCCCCTTCCTGCCAGCACCCATGCAGAGAGCATAAATTGGGCTTTTAGTTTTAAGGCAGTGATAAAGGTAAAGTTGTTCCTGTGCTTAACTAATTAAGCACTATGCCATGAAGGCGTATGTGGGTGTGGATGTATAGATCCATATTTTCTTGACCTCAGCACTAGTTGGAAGTGTATGGTCAGCTTGACGCTAGGTCGCTTTACCCCCGGGGAAAGAACCCTCAGTACCCATTGGATAGGAGGCTGGGTGGGCCCCAGGGCCGGTCTGGACAACGTAGAGAACAGAAAATTCTTGACTCTACCGGGACTCGAAACTCCGACCCCTTCAACGTCCAGCCCATAGCCAGTCGCTATACCGACTGCGCTATCCCGGCTCCTCACGTCCAGCCCACAGCTAGTCGCTATACTACTGCGTTATCCCGGCTCCTCATGTCCAGCCCGTAGCCAGTCGCTATACTGACTGCGCTATCCCGGCTCCTCACGTCCAGCCCGTAGCCAGTCGCTATACTGGCTGTGCTATCCCGGCTCCTCACGTCCAGCCCGTAGTCTGTCGCTATACTGGCTGGGCTATCCCGGCTCCTCACGTCCAGCCCATAGCGCAGTCGCTATACTGACTGCGCTATCCCGGCTCCTCACGTCCAGCCCATAGCCAGTCGCTATACCGACTGCGCTATCCCGGCTCCTCACGTCCAGCCCATAGCCAGTCGCTATACCGACTGGGCTATCCCGGCTCCTCACGTCCAGCCCACAGCCAGTCGCTATACCGACTGCGCTATCCCGGCTCCTTATAGTGATAGATAGGATAAAATATGAAATGGCATCCAAACATAAATTTTCTTTACAAGTAACACATAAGACATTTTAATTTAGGAATCTATGTCCTGAGTGCCATTCGAACCCACGATCCCAGAGTTAGAGCGATCGGAAACATTTCATGTCTTTGACCTCGCGGCCACTATGATCGGGAATTCAAAGATTACCGTTACCATTTCGTGACCAAATGATGAATCCTGCCTGTATTTAAGGTTGCCTGATCAAAGTACGCAGTCAAATGGCAGGATGGCCGTTAAGTAGAACTGGTGAGGACAGAAGTGGCTGTGGGCTATTTCAAAATATGCCCTACGCCAGCACTGGCCAAGGGCTGAAGTGAACATAACAAAATTCTACTTCTGACTGACATTTTGGACACAGTCCATTGCCACAGTTCCTTTTCAGGCCACAAATGTTCCGGAAACCAGTTCTGTTTCCTTCTTCAGGTGACAAGATCACTAAGGAATTCAGAGTCTCAGGCTCTGATCTGCTCTATCCTGTCACCCGGGAATAAGAAACAGAACCGGTTTCGGAAACACCGCGGTTAAGAAAACGGGGATGGATAATGCCCAAAATATAAGCAAAAGGAAGAACAGAAAAAAGAGAGAGATTACAAAAACGTGAATCAGAAAAGCCGCTCTCCAGATCAAGATACGAACCCGGAACCTACGAATAAGGCGCGATAATCATTGTTCACACAGTTTGGTGCACTGACTTTGCCTCTCGGAACACTGCCTCTTTACGGAGACACGCACATTGTTGTCTTTTAACTAGCCTTTCAGTTCTCGTAAATCATCCTCTACATCTTCTGACCATCTCGCTCTGAACCTTCGCACAATTCATATCTTCTGGCTTACTTTCAAAACTTTTCTTTGCTACCCTCGTTTGGTCCAATGCAGTCACATTCCGCAAGCACTCAACCTCCTCCCTCCAATATCTGCTACCCACACACCGCCTTCTGATGATTCTGTTCCCATTCTTGCGCAACGCAGCGCCATGACGTAGTACTGGCATGTCAAACTCATCTTGTACAGAGGGCCACCTCAGCCCTATAAATAATAGTCCAGGGCCGCACTTCGAAATGGAAATATACATTAGATTTTGATACAAGGAAATTTAATTCTATTTATTATTTAGGAATAATTTCAATATAATTAATTACCTAAAGTCACATACCTTACAGTTTTAAAAAGCAAGAGAATGCCATTTTTCATAAGTATCAAACAGCTTTTCAACATGTAAAAAGAGAGCTTACACAAGAAATTACGTTAGAAATAGCAAAACATTGAATTTCCTGCAGTCTGCTAATTTATGTCTGCGTGACACTTCTTGTCTTCTGGTCTGTTGGAAAATTGTCTTTACAAAAAATATTTCTGCTAAAATTTTAATATTGATTTTAATATCAATTAGCTCTAAAAGTTGAGGGGCCGCACTTTTTGGCTACGGGGGCCGCAAGTTTGACACGGCTGATGTAGTAATTAGAACTACCACGAAAGTTACGAGGGAAAATAATTGAAGATTTCGCCGCGGACCCTCGTGTGGCGCTGCCTGCGAATGACTGTTCCAAGCCATAAATGATCTTCGCGTAATTAAATTTAATGAGCTTTCTCGCCTCGCAGGGATCTGCAGTGAAGTGCTTTTAAATTAAACCTCCCCCTCCCCCAAATGGGGCTGGGATCTTCATGATGTATGGACAATGGCTGAACAATGGAGCGCTGTGCTGTCCACAGAAACTGCTTGAAGGGAGTTCCCCTGTGACGTCACGCTTCTTGCTTCTTTACTGTTGAGTTTCCCATCTCTTTGGAAGTGTGTAGATGAATTCACACTTCAAGTAGATTCGCAGAAACACAAAAAGAATACGAAAACTGGAAATAAAAACATTACACAGAAAACCCTTGTATCAGATTGGTTCTGTGATCATTAAACGACGCGCTTCAATTCCAGAGGTTTACTTTCTTCATGTATTTATGAAGCAATAATACTAGGGATCTGAACAGAAACCTCCTAAAGAATGCCGTCTTCTGGAATGTGGCGCCGTGCATATCTTGTGTGAACCGACGTTTCGCAGGAACGTATCGCCTCCATCTTCAGGGTATACTGCAGCCACCTGCTCACGCTGGCTCCTCGCTCCCGGATTTTTATGCCCTTAAAATGGAGGCGATACGTTCCCCCGAAACGTCGGTTTATACAATATCTACACGGCGCCACATCCCAGAAGACGGTGTTCTTCATAGCCATTGCCGTGAAAGCCCCAAATCTTACAGAATACGTCCCAAATACGGAGCACAAACAGAATAACAACGCAGACTGTCAGGCTTCCATCAACTCTACTACTCCCACCAGTTTCACACGGTAACATTTAAATTCTCCTTACGTGACTGTAAACTAAGGAAATACGTGTAAGACTGGAATTAGAGTTCGCAGTTTTTTACTTATTCATTCATAAGGTTAAGCAGGCGTATGTGGGTGTGGTGGAGGCCCATAGGGCTCCGAGACGTCGAGGCTCCCACATTTTCTGTAGAAAATCGGCCCACAGATGGCAGTGAGGCTGTCAGCCTTATGTGCCGACCGCAATTTACGAGGAAGATTCCTGGCAATCATTTCTGTTAGAGGCTGAGTCGACCACTGGGCCATAGTGCAGCTGGAAGGTTTAGGTCAATTGAAAAATCGAATGACATCGGGATTCCAACCCGCGATTTGATCACATGTATATCAATTGAGAATGGACATCGGGATTCCAACCCGCGATTTGATCACATGTATATCAATTGAGAATGGAACTGTTTTGGGGCTGCTTCAATTCACATTCTCCTGACCTGTGCTGTTCCTTGACCTACTGTGTCCACACACAATACTCCCCGAGATAAATCCTTCATCTATTGGCCCTTCTGAGAAACAACAGAGGATTCCGAGTGCTGGCGCCCCGCTAGTCTGCAGAAAGCGTGGCTCCCAGCGCGGGTCGGCAGCACTTCTTGCAGAGTCGCAAGTCACATCTGCAGTCCTACTGCGGGGTTAACGCTGGGCTACTCGACGGGACTGCGGTCCCACGTGTCAGGTGACCCATTTCTAAAGCGTGGGGCCTGGCTCCCCTGGGGGGTGGGAGTGATCTGTTGCTTACTGGGGCGAGGGATATTCTGTTAAATATATTATATTTCAGCATCCTGTTACACTCACACAATATATATGGACAATATGTGGAGGAGGAAAAAGAAGTAAAAACTACAATAAAATTGTTGCACTTAAGACGGTATTTGTCCATATATATCTGTTAAATATATTATACAGTAAAACTATTTCTATTACAATTCTCAAAATGCCCAAGATCATGTGTTTAATTTTATGACTTTATAAAATTTGATAAATACCGATTAAATCCTACAATGTATTCAATTAAAAAGCGTTTAAGTGAAAGGGCGGTTCTCTGCAGATACAAAATTAAGTTTATTTGGGGGGGGGAGGGGGGAACGATGAAACCTTTGCTAAGCTGAAGGGGCGCCAATAAATAAAGTTTAGAAGCCGCTGCTTAAAAGGATTGAAGTGTTTCTCGCGCAACGTATATTGTGCTGCTACTCCAGTGTTTCGGCCTATGTAAACCACGGGGGGCTGCCTGTTGCCGGCCGGCCTCTTGATAACTGTGACGTGGTGACTCCCCGTGCTCCACGACAGTCAGCTGTTATACACAGAGCAGACTGAGCAAATTGAGCGGGGGCAGAGGGATCGCAATATCGCGAAACACAGGGCACTTCCCCTCCACGACAAGCCCCCACCCCCGATCTATTGATCGGCATTCCTGTTCGGCTCCTTAAACCGCGTATAGTTTATTGAGTTGTCGCTGCGAAGTCGAGTGTGTACGGCAAGTTTTGCGCATACATTTATGACGTCATCTTTCCGAAGTCGAGTGTGTACGGCAAGTTTTGCGCATACATTTATGACGTCATCTTTCCGAGAGGAAGCGCGACATTAATCTGAACACAAATCTTAAAAAGTTGCTGGGGGCGCGGAAATGGTGCCAAAAATAGTAACTTAATTACTAACGAGATGCTAATTTACACCTGGATATTTGAGAGGGAGAATAACATTTTCGTGCCCAAGTATGTAAATGCCGTCATCTGTTTTGCAACAAACAGCAGCATCTCAAGGAGCGATGTTTTGTTTTCTACTGTTACGGGGCACGCGGTAGCGTAGTTGGTTGAGGCACTATGCTACAAGCCGGAAGGTCGCGGCATCGAATCCCGATGAGGTCCCTGGATTATTTTCAATTGACCTAATCCTTCCAGCCGCACTGTGGCGTTGGGGTCGACTCAGCCTCTAACAGAAATGAGTACCAGGAATAATCTTGGAATCTTCTTGGGGGTAAAGGGTGGCCGGGACGTAAGGCTAACAACCTTACCGCCATCTATGAGCCGATTGTCTAGAAAATGTGGGAGCCTCAACATCTCACAACCCTATGGGCCACCACGGCCCGTTACAGGGATATCTTTACCTTTTTTTACTTACTGTTACATCTGTCCCCCTGTGGTGTGTGTATGCTGTTTGCACCATTCCAGTCGGGTTGCAACGATGGAAACAACAAATGCACACGGGAACAGATGTAACAGTTACACGGCCAAACCACAGATGTCACCACTCCATATGTTTCCGGCTGCCCGAAGGTGTTACGTGTTGTTTCCACCATTCTGGTCTGAGGAAGTGCAGTCGAATGTTCCATTTAGAGCTTTACAGCTGGATGTTGTGTGTGTGATTTATGTGCTTAGTATTTCAGACTTAAGGAACTGTTCTTCTACAGAAAAGAGGCCCAAGATGGGAGACGCGAGTGGCACACCATTTCTGCTGAGATGAAAATACAGCACGATCGATAGAAATGGAAGGAATTTTGCGCGTTGTCCTGAAAATGCCGGTCTGGAAAACCGGGACTGGCGGCCATGGGGATCCGTTGCGCTGACCACGTGATGCCCTCTATCCGCATAAGTTGGCACTGGCTTCGCTGAAAAGCGGCGGTTGCTCGGTCGGTGTGGTTCGCCTGCGGACTATAGGCCACGAAGTTTGATTTTTTTGTTTGTTCTGAAAGTTAGGTTTATAGAGCTTAGTCTGTTCAGCAGCGCTACGAAACTAAACGTGTTTCCCCCGAGGGCAAAACAGAAGAAGCGTGAGTCTAACCTCCATTAATGCCGGGGTTAAGAATTCGAGGATTTATAACTCTCCACACGTCTTCATGACTGCTGCCTCTCATAATTTCACATAGCCACACTGATGATATTACTGAGAGCAGCTGCTCATACCAAGTTTCATAAAAATCTGTCAGCAGGGCCCGACCCAACACAGGCATGACACCATAAATGCGGGCGCACACTGAGAGCTACCTACTGGAGCTTGCCCTCCGCCGGCCCCGCCTTCAGCACGTCCGATATGGCAATCGCAGGATCGCCACTGGTGAAGTGCGGGTTGTCTCTGCCGCCACTGACGGCAATCCCGAACCCGTACCCAGGAACTCGCGTCAGGGTCACGTGGTGGTACTCCCAGACGATACGTTCCCCTCCCTGAAACACAAAAAGTACATTCAGGCTGTTACTGACAGCTATATCCGTGCTCAAATTCAGTACAGCACATCATTATACTGCACACATTCTGGGCACCGTCTCCACACTGGAGCCCTGACACATTTCCCTTCACAGGAGCTCCTACACGTGGCAGCAGCGGCATGGGCTCCGGCGGCCGGGTAATCTAGTAGGTCGTCACCGACCTGGTATAGCGGCAACTCTCTGCAGCTCTGCGACAGCGGATATCCTGTCTAAGAATGTACTGATTTTCCTCAGTTCCTCCAGGCAGGGGCCGGGACCGTATCACTTACTTCTAAACCCCTTCACAGTCATTATTCACCAGTCCTTATCATCCGAGATAACAGTAGCGTCGTCAAACAAATAACAAAAATCCTCCGACAGAGGGCAGGTTCTTTGGAAACGTCTGCAACTAACTACCAATCTAGACGGCGTCATCGCTGTGAGAACCTCAAGATCTCTCAAAACAAATCAATACACAGCCAGGAATTCGGTAGAGACTCGTGGCAACTGGTGACTGCTTTGAGTTTCGGATCACGTGACTGCTGATGAATTAGAAAGGATCTGGAAGGAAGCGGTCGCGGTCTAATCGAGACACAATCCCAGGATCTGCTTGGAAGGGCCTTTTTCTTTATTGCTAGGGTGTGGGACTAAGTCCCTTGTGCTGCGGCCACTTCTGGCCTATTGTACCAGCCCCAGATGATAGTTGAGGGTGATTGTGGAGCAACTGGTGGAATGAAGATTGGCAGGGGAAACCGAAGTACTCGGAGAAAACCTGCCCCAGCGCCACTTTGTCCACCACAAATCCCACTTGACCAGACCCTAGATCTAACCCGGGCCGCCGCGGTGGGAAGCCAGGGACTAACCGCTTGAGCTATGGCGCGGCGTTTGGAAGGGACTAGTTAGTTAGTTATTGGAGAGGGTGGGTTTCCCCATGCACCGCGACCAGTTTGATCTATTGTGCTTCCCTCTATGATATTCTACCAGTCTCTATACCCTACCGATACTGGTGCTTACAATCAGTCCCGACCGAGCCAGCGAGTTCGCCCTCTACTGGCTTGGCGGTATCTATAATGCTTCCCCCATCTATCAGAGACATTAGAGACTACTGTTGGGCGGGAAATGTCCTAGAATTTGGCTCAGTGACCTCCTTTGGAGATATGAGGTTCTTTTACGTGCCGTAAAGCTACGACACGGGACCCACGGCTTAAAGTCCCTCCCGGAGGACTTGTTCCCTGAATTTTTCCGCCCTTAAAAATTCCACGACCTCCGCCGGGTTTGAACCCGCGTACCACGAGTCATGAGGTGGGAACGTTACCTCTAGACTACGGAGGCCGCTTTGGGACTAAATAAAACCACGAAACACCCTCAATCAGTACAACCTGTGTCGTGGCCAGGATTCGAACCAAGCACGCGCCGAATACGCGTCCTCTAGACCGAGCTGCTCGCGAAACGATAAGTATCGATGTCAGCACTCGGACCGTTACGATGTCAGGTGACGTGGGCGGCTTGCTGTTCTTCGCCTGAACGTTTTATTGTCTTGTAGCTACGGTAATGGTTCCGGTTCCGGGTCCCTCAGGGGTCACAGTACACGAAAAGTCGTAAAATGGGGCGATGAAGAAACCGGAACATATGACTGCAGTTAAAACGGGCCGCTTCGCTCCCGGGAGACAGATAAAAGGAGGGGGAAGCTGGCAACAGACAAGAACTTCATCCGCGGGATCTGAGCGCCGGGTCTCACTGCCTCTCCCGCGCAACGGGGCTGGAAGAACTTATCTAAGCTGCATTATCCCACTGGTTCAGTCTCCATCTCAAAGAAATCACACTGCAAGATAAAAACTGAACTTCCGAATATATGGGGCACGCGGTACCGTAGTTGGTTGAGGGGCTATGCTACAAGCCGGAAGTTCGCGGGTTCAAGTCCCGATGAGGTCACTGGATTTTTTCAATTGACCTAATCCTTCCAGCCGCACTATGGTCCTGGGGTCGACTCAGCCTCTAACAGAAATGAGTACCAGGAATTAATTAAATAATTTTCCTGGGGAGTAAAACGCGGCCGGCGCGTAAGGTTGACAACCTTACCGCCATCTGTGAGCTGATTGTCTATAATGTGGGAGCCTCGACGTCTTACAACCCTGTGGGCCTTCATGGCTTTTTACAGGGATAGCTTTACTCGCACTTATACCGACGTACTGACCGAACTTGGTACAATAACAGGCATTACGCGGTGCTGCTATCTAGAGGTACGCTACGAACTTCTTCTGGCAAACGCTGACACTGCACATTGACGTTTGTTGCTGCCTTCTTCTGTTCCCGTTCGTAACTAAAACCATCCCTGACTTCTAAAATACATTAAGGAAAAATGCCGTATTCTGGGATTTAACGCCATGTAGATCTAATGTAAACAGACGTTTCGGAGGAGCGTATCGCCTCCATCTTCAGGGTACAAAAATCCGCGAGCGAGGAACAGCGTGAGCAGGATACGCTACTCCGAAACGTCGGTTTACAGTAGATCTACACGGAGCCACATCCCAGAAGACGGCATTCTTCATAATCACCGCCGTGAAAACCTCAAACCTTATATTAGGGCCATAACAAGCTTCTGCCTTTTATATATTTTTGTGGGTACTAACAAAAAACTGCGTAAGTTAGGTCTACATCTTACGGGCACATTTTACGCTATTTAACGATGACATTTCAATTGCTGGGGATGCATATCGTCAAATAAGATCCGATGATGATAGCAAATGGGTTATTTGGTAAGGATTTTGAAGGAGGCGGATACATGGTCAGTTTGAATTTATCTTCCTGACATCCGCACATAAAATCGTTAGAGCAGCGGATAACCTGCCGAGATTTCGAACCGAGTGCTTTCAGACAAAATGCAGAGCATTAACACTAAAGCAACCTGGTTCGTATCTCGGACGAAATAACTCGGTTGACACGGCGTCGAATGACTGCTTGATTCAACGAATAGTGCATCAGGCTGAACGTGAGGGAAAGCCGTCGTGACGTAATTTGGGGTACCCACAATGTGTTCTTCCCAAAAAGAAACTCACTAAGACAGTCGGTGTCACTACTGAGACTCGAACCAGTGACCCCTTCCCCCCAATACAAGTCAGAAGCGTTATCACTTGAGCCACCCAGGTCTGTACTGCCCATGAAGACACCTACTGGGCCCATGGAAATGTCACTGCCAACTTACGTCGTTAAACAGCCCACACTTCCTGTTATGACACAAATAACGTTCCAAGCGATGAACTTTTCTTGTTCACTAAATGTGGCATCTGCCCCGCCCCGTCTCACTCCTCTGCGTTCCTGCAGCTCATTCATGCGTCCATCTTATCGATCCCACGGACGGGTGGACAGCGACGCTCTCGGCGTACTCACCGTGACAGACAGACAGACAGACAGATGGCAAGACGACGTGTCCACGCTGGACGCAAACGGCACCCCGACCTTTACGATCGGGTTTCCGCGCCGACTGACGGACGGACATCACGTGCTCTACTGTGAAAACTTCCTCCGCTCCCACAGGACTATCCTGCTTCCTTCTGCAGGGAGACGGCCAAGTCGCGCAAGGAACAACGGGACCAGAGTCTCAGCGAACAGGAGGGAGGTAAGAGGGGCAGGAGGAACAGCGAGGAGCACTCGTTCTGTAGGGCACAGCGGATACGACAAATTATACAGCACTAACCTGGAGTAACAGCATTAAGCGGGGGAGACAGAGCACTAAGTTGGGGTGATAGCACTAAGCGAGGGTGACAGAGCACTAACCAGGGGTGATAGCACTAAGCGAGGGAGACAGAGCACCAAGTTGGGGTGAGGGCACTAAGCAGGGGTGATAGCACTAAGCGAGGGTGACAGAGCACTAAGTAGGGGTGACAGAGCACTAACCAGGGGTGACAGAGCACTAAGCAGGGGTGACACAGTTGAAATGACAATAAAATAAAGAAAAATCTGGAAATTACCCATCACCCTAATTTTGAGACGTTTCGGAGACTGGACTCCAGTGGTAAACATCCTATGCTGTTGGGCCCAAACAACACAGCAGAGAGTACAAAGGATAATGTCCAAATTAATCGACCCCTCTGTTGAGTGCCGTCGTCATGAACCGCTATGTTTAACTGGGAAGTGGGACACATATCGCCCGCTTCACTTCACCCGCAAAACAAGCTTATGCACAGAGGCAGGTACGAGGGGATTGGGGGGGGCGACACCGGACATCTTACGACGCGTTTCCGCAAACTCTAAGAAACCGCGACTGTACCCACACGCGGAAACCTTGGGGCCCGCAGACCACACTTTGAGAACCACTGATCTCAACGCTACATACTGATGAATAGTAAAGTAAAGGTATCCCTATAACAGGCCGTGGAGGCCCATAGGGTTGAGACGTCGAGGCTTCCACATTTTCTAGACAACCGGCTCATAGATGGCGGTAAGGTTGTCAGCCTTACACACCGGCCGCCCTTTATCGCCCCAGGAAGATTCCTGGTACTCATTTCTGTTAGAGGCTGAGTCGACCCCAGGGCCATAGTGCGGCTGGAAGGATTAGGTAAACTGAAAAATCCAATGACCTCATAAGGACTTGAACCCGCGACCTTCCGGTTTGTAGCATAGCCCCTCAACCAACTACGCTGCCGCGTGGCCCCCACTGATGAGTAGCTGCCACCGAAATTGTGTGCGCACTTCAGGTTTCACCATCGAACCCAGAGCCAGGAACTCTGGGCGAACACACCGCGAACCAGAGACATATCACCCCGGTACGGGGGTGGGGCAGCACGTATATAAAATCGATGTTGGGGCGGCCCGCCGGCTTATGTGCTACACTGTGTAGCGGTGGTAACCCGTCACATAACTTCCCAGTCCTGCACGTCTAACGCCGTTTCCCACGAACAGCACGCACAAATGATCAATCGCAAACCGTCTCCTTTATATACTGTGCTACACGTACGCATGTCCGCTGAAAGCGGGAACAG